AGAAAATATCAAACGCCCGACGGAGACTGAGACAACTGATATATTAATCCTTTCAACTGTGATCTCGCGCTAATTCACTCTGTCAGAAATCATGTATCATTCATCTCTGCCTGGAATAGTCTTGTTTCAGTATTAGGGTTTTGACGTCACATCATCGCCTCGTTTTCAGAGGTCCGAAAAATCGGGGATTTCAATATTTTTCTATAAAACGTAGGGAGCTCACAGCAAGAAACGGTTTGCGGTGGTGAGTTGATTTGGGTGAGATCTATCGAATTATGAAATAACATTTTTTTTCTGTGACGGGAAAAAAGTTTGGCATTTCATCTCTGTTGGCAGGTTATAAAATGTCACTTTTCATAAATTACTTTTTTCCCGTGGGAAAAAAGTGAGTACTTCTTTCCCGGATATATATCACATATATATACTCTGTAAATGGCTTTTGTTGTGCTATAGTTCCGAAAAATGAGTCAATAATACCGTCTCCGAGAAAGAACTGCAAGTCCTTTTATCTTCCATTCGACTTCGCGGTTTCGTATATTACTAAACAACTACTGAATTCGCAATTTTTTAAAATCAAATGACAGAATTGAACTGACAAAAGTGACATGAGATATTTGATTACTTCAAAAGAATGATAAAGATGCCTATAAAACGCAGGTGTCCCTACTGTTAAAAACTTTAAATTTCACGTCGATAATTTTCAGATTTCGAAATAATGTAATATCTTCTCAATATTGATTCGTCCTTCCTTCTGTCACAGAAAAAAATAGTGTATTATACACGGGAAAAATATTAGATTTTAGCTCACGGTTTTTTGTCTCCCTCCGCTACGCGTCGGGAGACAACACCTGGAGCTAAAATCTACTACTTTTTTCCCTTGTATAATAAATAACTATTTCGTGATATAAGCCCATTGAAGTGATGGCACAAAATCACTATTTTAGGACGTCAAAATATCATTCTGTCATTAAAACGTGAAAAAAAAATTCCGATATCACAAGCTGGTGGGTACCCACGAGAAAAAAATGTTCACTTAAATACATACTATGCTATGGTAATTTGTCATAAATACACAATTTATCTGTATAAAAATCACTGGTGTGGAATTTTCACAAGAATGAAAGTCGAAAAATAAAAATAGTAAAAGATTTCGTTCTGAAGTGCCAGATGAGAACAATCAATCATATAACGACTGACATTTCCTAGACCACAGCTTAGGAAATATCGTATTCTAGTAAACGAAAAAACATACGACTCACGCAACGCCTCAAGTGACAGATGACGAGAAAGGACACGTGTGTATCAACTGCTGTCCAACAAAGAATTCGTTAAATGTTAATTACTTATTAGAATGAATATCTCAAACGTGATTGAAAAGTTTCGTAAATAGATTATTTTTTATTGGTTACAATATACAGGGTGATTCAGGTTTTGAGGCACAAACTGTAATGGGAGATAAATTTCATCATTTCAATCGGATAATTTCATATAAACATTAGTCTGATCTCGCCCAGAAGCGGAGCTACAGGGGGTCAAAGTTCAATAATTTTGTTCTATTAATTGAAATATCTCGCTTACTTCTTTAGATTTCATTTTGAAATTTGGTGTGGTCAATACTTCCTAGAAGATCATCATTTCAAGCTATTTGAAGATTTTCAAAATCTACAGGGTGATAGGTTTTTGTGGGTAGAGGCTTTTTTATCCCCCCCAAACTTTTTCATCGTACGCCTCTAGCATCTTTCACTGATCTACTTGTGTGGATCGTTCAATTTAGAGGCTTTTTTGCTTCTTGATTCTTTTCGAGAAAACGAACCGTTTTTGAGATAAATGAGCATATACGTTCTAAGACATGTTAATTTTGCCTATGTTTCGCTTAAATTTAATTCTTTGACAAAATTCGTTGAGAATACAATGAGATGTACTCACTAAAATTGCAATGACTAGTCCAATCTGGATCAGTAACGGGAATACGGAGGGTAGAAACTCGAGGTTTTTTTTCAGTTAAATGAAATTTAAGCGAAACATAGGCAAAATTAACATGTTTCAGAACGTATATGCTCAATTATCTCAAAAACAGTTCGTTTCTCGAAAAAAATTGAAGGACAAAAAAGCCTCTAAATTGAACGATCCACACAATTTGATCACAAGAAGATGCCAGAGGCGTGCTACGAAAAAGTTTGGGGGGGATAAAGGAGCCTCTACCCCCAAAACCGTATCACCCTGTAGATTTTGAAAATCTTAAAATGGCTTGAAATGATGATATTCTAAATATTATCGACCACACCAAATTTTAAAATGATAACTTGAAAAGTAAGCGAGATATTTCAATTAATAGAAAAGAATAATTAAACTTTGACCCCCTGTAGCTCCGCTACTGAACGAGATCGAACTGATGTATATATGAATTGAAATGATGAGATCTACCTCCCATTTCATCACCCTGTATAATGTTACATTTGTAAGAAGACGTATACAGGGTGTTTCATTACTAATTGGAAATATTTCAACCATAGAATCCCGAACTCAAAATATGAAGATTCGTTATTATGATCACAATTTCAGATAATCTTTTGTTTTTTACCCAACTTTCAATGACTATAGCTCGAAGGAGAAGCATTTCAGGCCACACCATTGTATGAACAACAATAGATGCTCAAGATATTCACATCGAATTTTGAATCACCTCTTGTCACCATCTCCCCAAAAGTAGTCTCTTCATTCCAACAAAAAAAATTATACAGTTCAAATTTTCATATTCTTCAGTAACTAAATTCTTCGATTTTTTTTTGGTATTTTTTTTTTTCCTATTTCAATGTTTGTATCTGTTAATTGATATGTGATAATATTTGATTGTTTTTCGATTTTTCTTTTTCTTAAATATTGGATCCTAGACCCCCCCAGGAATGAATCTTAATTACGCCACTGGTAAGGAGGTTTTAAACTTCGAAATGCGTTTTTCTCGAAACTTACTTTTTGCACAGATTATGGGGGAGTGTATAATCTCTGCTTTTTGTGACATTCCCCCTTTTTCCTTCTGATTCAAATCTTATTCAAATCTTATTCAATGCAATACAATTATTTCTTGTAAGAAATTTATTGTATAGCCGAATATTATCTTCAACTGATTGTGTTTGTAGTTATCCAAATTTCATGTAGGTATATCTAATCTTTTATTAAACATGAAAAAAAACACCGTATACAGAGTATTCTGGGAATTATGAGAAACTATCCAAACACGACTTTGAACCTTATCTCGGGTTGAAATGTCAATATACGGAAACATGTGAAAGATAAGACACCTCTCTTCTGAGAATATTTCCTCGAGTAAGATGAAATATCATACCTTATCAGATTAAACAAACAAGTGCCGTAAAAATGTTCAATTTTTGTTGTACAAGGTGGCACATAAATAAGCTGTCGCCCAAAACTTGGAGAGCAAGTGAACTTATGTGAATAATCATTTTGAAATCGAATAATCAACTTTTAGAATTATTTCTGATCACTACTGTTATTCTCGGAGACATTTCTATAGATACTTCCACGGGAAATGTTCCTCAGAAATCTCTGATATAATTCCAATACTAGCAATACCAGTCAGACGAACTCTACAGGCCCAGTCAGCACATTCCTTTGTCGTTAACCTTGAAAAATGTCGAACAACACTCTACCAAAACTAGTTCGTCTATAGAACGGCGAAGCTTTGGAATTTTACTGCCAATGGAAGCATTCCAAAGAACTTTTATCCTCCAAAAGTTCAATAAAAAATTGCAACACCTACCTCCTCTCCCTGTCCTTTCGTGCGCTCCAAGAGATTGAAAAAGAATGTTCGCTATACTTTCACCAAGGTTTAGGTACATATTGTCGGCCTTCCCTCGTATACTATTCACGGATATATTGATAAAGAATGATTATGGTAATTGGACTGGTTTTATTAATCGATCGGCAATCGCAGAACTAAAGTAATAAAATACGCGTTCTTCTCACAGCTATGGAGTTTTTTCTGTTAAGTGTTCTTTTCTCAATCGATAGCTATCGAGATTCAAAACATGATATCACGTGAAAACTCTGTACTTTGATGTATACATTTATGTTGAAATATTTCAAGATTCTCAAACTTTTTTTTCTTTCTCTCTAGATTTTTGGAGTTTCATCTCCTGGTCTCAAATCGTCCCAAAATTTTCAAATTTCAACAAAAAAATAACTCAATGATTGTTGTAGGCACTAATTATGATATTTCAATACGCTCCTTCGTTTTCGATTTCAATTAATAATGTTCCTTTTATAATTCTTCATTCACATTCAAAGCTCACAAAATTGCTCATATTTAAGGGTCTGAATTTGAAAACATTGATATATTCTTTGAGATTGGAATTCAATTCATTAAAATTGAAAATCATTTTCCTTTTTCAATTCATAATAGTTCCAAACAATCAACTAAATTGTGGTGTTTCAATTTTTGGTAAAAATTGTATGCTAATTTTGAAAGAACATTTCGTTGTACATAGAAATTTTGTGGCATATAACTTTATAATTGCCGTCGATTTTTCATACATCAGTCTTTTAGTAGTATTTTCTAAAGTTCATTATATAACGTAGTCACGAAACATATTGATAGGATCATTTTATAATTACTTTTATAGGGATTGAATAATTTTTTCATAGAAATCCGATATCGAAATATTGCATAACATGGGGTCATTTTTGGTTGTATAGACATTGTATTTGATCGTCGTATACGATTTTAACAGTTCGATGAGAATTGTTGTATAACAGTTGCAACAACCCTTACAGAAGGTAAATTGCTATATGGGTGTGAAAAAGAAAAGTTGTTGCAGATGGGTTGATAAGTATCTCTAAAAACGTTTTATAGGACTTGAATGTTTATATTTTTATTCATACAACTTTTGGTCTAAAAATGAACCAGTGATTGCTGTTCATTTAGGAAGTCGTATTTTGAAAAATTGAGTTGAAATGTTTTGTGGAGATTGAAAAACACTTACCTGCAATGTCTAGTGTCCGCCATCTAGTTTTACGTGATGCCTTCTTTCCCATCTTTTCAAAACACTCCAAATTTGTCTGTCTTTCCACCTACCATCAGATGCTACAGTACAAGCTACTATTATTTTTTTTATAACGGCCGCACCATATTTTTTCCCTGCATGAAATAAAAGTCTCTCACTTCGATAAACCGGCTAGTTTTTGCTATTTATTTATATTTCACCTTTAATTGACAAGATTTATATTTTTTTTACTCGAAGCTACCGGCTATACGAATTGTTCCTGCAAAATCCTGCTAGCTAAATTTTCACTGTCCGGCTTTTTTTTTCTCTTTTTTACCCGCGTGTTACGATTCTTTTATCACACAGAAATCACATTTCTAGTTCGAGGTTACCTTGAAGCGTTTTTCTTTCAATCGACATCGGCCTATATTATTATTCTTTATCAGTTCGGTGTTACGTAACAATCAGATCCCGTGCTATGTAACATTATCGACTAAATGTTATGTATGAGGAGCGTATTCCACTAACCTACCGACTGAAGACCGAACAATATATTTGAACGGTTCGGAAGCGATCGGCGAAGGATCGTGGACGGTGTATCTCTCATTGATCCTGCTGCTCGCGTGCTAGCTAGTCCCTGCGTGGTCGAAAATTCCTCCGACATTTCCTGCTGAGGCGCTGAAATCTTGAAGATTTTCGCGAATATTTTCCTCATAAGTTATGTTATGGGTAAAAATGGAGCCATTGGTTCCTTATCTCATTTTGAAGAGAAAAATGAATATGAACATAATACTAATGTCCTAAACCTTTAACTTTCATAAGAAAAAATTGTTCTTCTTATCATAACATGCAAAAGCTTCAAAATCGGGGTATTAGGTTAATTTTTTTTGGAGCTTGGAGCGCACGAAAGGGAATCCCTATAATGTTCAAAGATCATCGTGGTGTAACCGTTACATAGCAATTAAATTGATGCTAGAGTGTCTTAAATGGTCTAAAATGGTTCTCAGTTGAAGAACGTATACTATTTATTGAAGTATTATGTATGAATGAGTCGAATGCTAGTTCTGGTTGAATCTCCAAAATTCATCATTCATTTCTCTAGCACAATTTCGTGACAAGTCTGTCACACAACAATAAAAACAAAAACTCCTCATGATTCAATGGTACCTCAACTTATTTCGAATAAATGTACAGGATGATATATACAGCAGGGTGGGCCACCAGTAACGCCTCGGTCTCTAGAAGGCTAACCACTTATCTTCTTGGAATTCTTCCTCTCTAGGAAGTTGCATGTCAACATAGGCTACCATTCAAAATTATTTCGAAACATACAGGGTGTCCCCAAAAACCATAAAACACTGAAGTTGAACTTTTTTCTATCGAACACCCTATATATTATTTCATTTTGAGATTCTCCCTGATGAGCTGATTTCAACAATCCATCATACTTGGGGTCTAGCAGCAGTTATAATTACTGAAATATAGGGTGTGAAAAATCGAGATTTTCCAAGTTCAAGAATGTTTTGTGTCGAAACTATTCATAATTGGTCAAAACGGCTTACATGTCCCTATCTCAACTTTTGATTAACTATCTACTGATATTTAATTGGGACATATACCGGGTGATCAAGATTCTGAATTCTGCACCACCCTGTATTTGTTTCAATTAAATGTCAGTAGATAGTTGATCAAAAGTTGAGATAGGGACATGTGAGCCGTTTCGACCAATTATTAATGGTTTAGTCACAAAAAATTCTTGAACTTGGAAAATCTCGATTTCTCACACCCTATATTTCAGTAATTATAACTGCTAGACCCCAAGTATGATGGATTGTTGAAATCAGCTCACCAGGGAGAATCTCAAAATGAAATAATATATAGGGCGTTCGATTGAAAAAAGTTCAACTTCAGTATTTTGTGATTTTTGGGAACACCCTGTATGTTTCGAAATAATTTTAAATGGTAGCCTATGTTAACATGCAACTTCCTAGAGGGGAAGAATTCCAAGAAGATAAGTGGTTAGCCTTCTAGAGACCGAGGCGTTACTGGTGGCCCACCCTGTATAAATTAATCCTAACGGAACATCGCCCTTTTTAAATTCATTAAAAGAATAATCTTACACTAACCTATGTTACATAATCAGAAAGCCATGCAGGCTTCTTCAAAGATCTTTTAGGACGATTTGATTGAGAATTAGCATTATCAGGTGAAGTTGGAACCGCTACTTCACTTGTGCTATCAACATTGTTGTTAGTTTGACTAGGAATCACCTGATTATCTGAATGTACCTGAGATACAGGAGTGTTCAAATTGGAATTTATAATTAGATTCCAATTTTGTGAAGAATTTGAACTATCTTTATAATGCGGTGCAGATATGAAGTGCCATCGAGGCTCTATTGTTTTTTCAACAATGACTCCATATTTCCTCAAATCACTGATCCAAATATGATCATTCGTTTTCAATTCTGAAAGATCTTTGGAGTTATGCCTACGATTGTAATTTTGCTCTTGCTTATCCTTCCTTCTCTCTTCCGATTCAGTGAATTTTATTCGAGTGTCAACAATTTCGTTCAACTTATTTGGTAAAACTGGTAATAATGTTCGTATCTTACGAGAAAACATCAGTTCGGCAGGACTAAATCCACATTCTAAGGGAGTTGATCGATACGACATTAAAGCAATATTGATATCATTTTTTTTTTAGTAATGACTTTGCAATTTTTACAGCTGCCTCTATATATACAACCATTTGATTGAGAGAAGTAAGGACTACTGGTAACGTGTTGAAAATTATAATCATTTGAAAATGTTTTGAAAGTCGCTTGAAATTGTGGGCCATTGTCTGATCGTACAATCTCTGGTATACCAAACCTTGCAAATATTTCCTTCAATTTCTGAATAACTACTTGTTCGGTCATACTCGACAAAGGAACAATCTCAAAAAATTTAGAATAATTTTCACTCGCCAATTTTTTTCGTCAAAAAACATTTCGGCTAATTCAATCAATTGACTTTGCTTGAACAAAAAACTGACAGAAACACATCTTGCCTACAAATTACCACATGGTGCTCAGTATGTACATGTCAAATTTTATGAAAATATCTAGAATTATGGTTATTCATGAAGTTGGGAGGAAATCTCATAGTCTCAAGGGACTTTTTTCAATATAATCCACCTCGACAAATAATAACTTTACGTACGCCTCTGATAGTAGCCAGAAACGGTCATTTTACTAAAAGTTGTAGAGTAATTTTCAAATGAAAAAATATGTTTATAGGAACTTATTTTCTAAGAACAACTCGAGGAATCACCCTCTGAAAATATGAAACGATGCAATTTGAAGCCATCATTGCACTTTTTTTTCAACCATTTTCTTCACGCCACTGTATTATAGAGAGAAAAATTCCTTGAAAAAGAAAAAGTTATCTTCTCCTAACTTATTCACGAGCAACCACGATATTCAATAATATCAGATATTTCCTCATGAAAACATTATTTGGATTGACTGAGCAGATTTTAGAAGCCGAACTCGGTGAAGATGGAAAATTATACATGAAACTAACACTGTTACCTACTTATTATAGTCTCTATGTATATGTGCAGTTAGGCCTCTGGTGTATCTTAAGTTGTTTTCCCTAATTTTTTAGCCTATGAGGGGGTGAGGAATTATTTGTATTTCAGGAACACTGATGCTTTCTCCTGAATCTTTTTTTTTCTTTCATTTCCGACTCAGTTTATGATTTTCAAACAATTGCACAATGTTTTGTAAGAGGTGAAGTCAATTACATCTTATTACAGCTGTTAGCAGTTTTAATCAAGGGATTTACGATTTACGTTGATTGATTTATTCTTTTTCTGTTCTACTGAATTACCTAAATTGCTTTGGTATCAACTTTTCGGTAATTATAGACAATATCATAGATTAAACTTAATCTATGGCAATATGATTCATGCACTCAGAATTCATTCACGATTTTACGAATCTTTTTGCATGGCGACTTACACAAACATTTAAATTAATATTACTTTGCATTTTGGGCACTGCATGTGACTTTTCGAAATAATATTATTTTATTATATGTTAATTATGTATCGGAAAAATAAGATATCTAATTCTGATATAATATATTTTTAATACCATTTATTTGAAGTAGGTATATAGTTAGTTATATTCATTTATCAATATCTAGAATCAATTGGAATTGGATTTTTGATACATACCCTATGTACAGAGTGTGCCACTTGAAATGAAATCCCCTCTTAACTCTTTCGTTATCAGAGATATGAAAAAATGTTAAATGAAAAAGTTGTGTCAAACGACCCAAACTTTTATTTCGTGAAGTTGTTTCATATACATGGTCATTCGTTTTTCCAGGAAAATAGACATTCTATATAATTTACGACATGTCGATAGGGCCTTTTTCCTGATTTCAAATATGCGTATATGAGTGGCATATTTGGATGAAAAATAGTTGAGTTACGTTGGGCTTCGAAATAACATCTATATATTGTTCAAGCTCCATGGAGATGTTATGGTAGTGTTTACTATGAAATTGAAATCGTTCAATCTCAATACAAAAAATATGAATAGACAGTTTGAATGGAAGATTCGGTATTTTGGTAAACTTTGATAGTCTATAACTCAATTATTTCTCATCCAAATATGCAACTCTTATATATTTTTGAAATCAGAAAAAAAGGCTCTATCGACATGTCAGAAAATATATAGGGTGTTCCATTGAAAAAATCAAAGTTAGTGTCCTTTTCGGAAAAACGAATGACCCTGTATATGAAGCAACTTCACGAAATAAAAGTTTGGGTCGTTTCAATCAACTTTTTAGTTCGACATTTTTTCACATCTCTTAGAACAAAAGAATTAAAGGGGGGTTCCATTTCAAGAGGCGCACCCTGTACATAACAGATATAATTACTTCAATATTCTGTGGTATTAGCCAGGAAAAGAGTAGTTGTCTGTTAGATATATTTCAGCAATGATTTTCTCATTTCATAATAAAAACTTATTCTCAAGGGGGATATTTGGTGAATGGGAAACAATGACTATAGATCTTATAAGTATATAAAATCAACAATTGGCAGAATCAGATATCATATAAAGAGTTCACTGTGTATATTATGATATCAACACTGATAATATTGCCATTTATTTAAATGCAATCCAGAGAAATTCGGGAAATTGAGGAACTGCAGATTTCTGGGCGTCCAACAGACTTCATTCTTTCAATAAATGAGACTATTTTGATACATAGAATCCACAAATCCTTTATTTCTTCCGCCTGCTTATACGTGGAAACCAACGTTTTTCAAACCCTGTACAAATGTCAATGAAGTCAACTAAGCAAACGCCATCGTAGCTTTAATGTTTGTACACCAAAGATCCCACTGTCGTTGATGTAAACACGGCCATATTATGATTCCCGTTGACAGCTGTCAGCCGTTGACCTTCAAATCAGCTGATTGATTTTGACAACTCCTGGGTCCTAACTTTTGTGAATATTTTGTTTTCGGTATTCTGCTCAACCTGCGACACTACAGATTTTGCTATTTAATTTCAGATGCCAGGATTTGGAATGTTTATTAGCACACAGTAGGAGGTATAAACCAGTAGAAACATTGAAGACTTAGCCAGAACAACGAAATGAATCTTCCGGAATCGGATAGCGAAGATGAACTACCTCCTGGTTGGGAGGAGAGGGTCACTGTGGATGGCAGCGTTTTTTACGCCAATCATTTGACCAAAAACACCCAGTGGACTCACCCGAGAACTGGCAAGAAGAAGAGAGTGAGTACAATACTTTTGAAATGGAAATAAAGCATAGACCTTGATGATTCTGAAAAATCCTACCCTACTGATAGATATGTCTATGGTTTCCCCCTCAATACATGGGTATTTGGCTATCAAGCTATTCAGGCAACCCAACATACAACAATGCGTGTAGTAGTTGCTAGAGTCACTGGATGGTATTGATATATGAGAGGAGGGACACAGAAATGACAACTGTTAGCGTTTTTTAATGTTTAGATTCATTAAGTTACACACCTTGCATTGTGACAAGAGCAACATAGTCTTCCCGCGGTTTTTCATTCAAAATAATTGTTTGAATTAGACAATGAATTTTATGATCATCAGAATTGAAATATAATTTCTTGAACAATTGAGATGAAAGCTCTAAAATCGTATCTGACAAGCGAAACTACTAGAGAAATTGAAAAGACAAAGAGCAGAATATGTCTTATTCTTTTATTCACTCAAACCATTGTAATATAGAAAATAGAAAAAGACAGACAGGTATTAGTTAGTTGAAAGTTCAGCTGTGTCCGAACTTTTAACTAACTAATACCATCCAGTGAGTAGTTGCCAGCCTTAAGTGCTGCAACAGCACTGAAAGTAACATTCAACAATCTGTAATACATCAATTTAATTTGGAATTTTGGGAATTTCAGTTGATAAACTGTTGTGAATTGTTATTCATGTCAAACTGAATTTGAAGCTCCTTCCTCATTTCTCTGACTACCACTTACCTATTCGAAGAACTTGGGAAAAATTTGCGAATTCTCATCTCATTTTCATGTCAATATCTCGCAGGAATAAAGTTAAAACAAAGACTACACTTTCAACTAGAAAGTATGCTGTTGAGGAACAATAATAATTGCTATGTTTCAAATTGGAAATCATGGTTTTCACATTATCAACATATAGCAGGATTAAAACACATGACTTGAGATCTACTATGAAGGTGGATTATTGAAGGACCTAGAATGAGTCCTTAACTTGACTTAACATCATTTTATCCTAAGAATCCACCATTAACCATCAATTTCTGGCAGCATAGAAGAAAAAATATGGTTGATTTGAACTGTTAAGGTTTCTGGAGACCTACCTTTTGGTTGGGAAAGATGCATCGACAAGAACACAGCAAAAGTTATTTACGTAGACCATGAAAACAGAAGAACAACTTATACTGATCCAAGGCTGGCATTTGCTGTTGAAGAAAAGGAACATGTGAACGACTACAGACAAAGATTCGATGCTTCCAGCACAGCATTACAAGTGAGTCCGATGAGAATTCCTCAAAAATCACCGATTCAAATTCATAAATGCATTCCTAGTTTTGAGAGATTCGCTACTGGGGAAGTTTCCAATATTGAGGTTTTATTTCACTGTGGAGTTTGTAAAAATTCAATACTTACGTATTTTTTCTATATTTCATAAGATCAAATTTCAATTCAGAAAATAATAAATGACAGTGGAACTTGGATCTTTCACCACTCCTATGACGTATTTTATGAAAAGCCTGATTCACACAGAGTTGAAATATGATTCCCTGTGTCAGTTTGACGTCGCCGGCATCATAAATATGTCCAGATTTCCGGAAATTGTTCTTTGAATACATAACAGCAATGGGATATAATAGGATGAAGTTGATTACTAACATAGATAAATTATATTACTTTGCTATAGTATCTATAATTTCTCACTTTAGTTATATTATTAAAGAATGATCATAACTTGACAGTAATTTTTTTTTTGCAAATTAATTCGTTTCTTCATAAAACGAATGAATATTCTCGGAAAGTTGCTGATTATATCTTGCAAGAGCGCATAATGCTTTGAGTTCGTCCACACCACACAAAATACTGACAGGCACACAGAGAGCCTGATTTTGTGGCTATGTATCTTTCTGTTTACCGGTTTTACTCGTGTCGATTTTTGATCTCCAGATAGTCGTTGGCCCCTTCATTGTCTACAGTTTATAATAATTGTTTTGTTAGTTCGACATTTTTCAATATAATATCCGTTAGCTATTCACTAGCTATATTCACCACCATCATCAGATATATTCAGACTGAATTCGGAATGTACCTACATCATAGTTTGCCGCCCCGAAAGTTAGTCATTACTTTATTTCGAAAATAATAATGACTGGGACTTAATCGATCGTCATTCTGTACAGCGTAGACATGAAACTATGGAGTATCAAAATTCATCTGAAGGAAACTTCTCCATTCATCCAATCTTAATGTGACCGAGTAAATATCAAAAACAAGCATCTATTGAGTGTATCTCTGGACTATTCTTTAACCAAACAGAATCCCAACTGTCGAAAAAATGTAGGAACGATTCATATATTTTTTTAGATGTTAATTTTTGTGGAATACCAATTTTTTTTTAGGTTCTTCATGGTAGAGACTTGAATGGAAAGCTAGCCCTAGTGACTGGGGCTAATGCAGGCATAGGATTTGAAACAGTCAGATCACTTGCCAAACACGGCTGCACGGTTATTTTCGCTTGCAGAAATCTAGCTGCAGCCGAAGAAGCCATCACGCAGATCCGAGATGAAAAAGCTGCCGCTGGGGATAACTGCATAGCTATCCATTTGGATTTGACGTCGTTGTCTTCAGTAGTAAGTTTGATTCATTTAACTTGAGGGGCAATTACTCGAAGCATCGACACGTATTTCTCACTTCAGATAGAGTCAGTTTGGTGAATCCAGTATTGCACAACATATTTTTGAGATTTGTCACCCTAGATGAATCATGGATTATGTTCGCTAGTGTGATTACTGTGATTTGAAACGATGTTCATTATAGCCAAAATCACTTTTTATCTCAAAATAATTAGCTATAAACTTATTAATATAATATCGTTAGTCATTCTGGCTGGTAATTCAACAGATTTTCCCATTTAATATACTATTTTTCTAGATCGGTGATGAAAATACGTCCGAAGTACCCAAGATTTTATCAGTAGGTATAGACATTCACATACAGTGTCATTCATAAAGTCAGCATCATATGGGAAAAACTTTTAAAAATGACTTATTTTGGAATTCGAGCTGGACGTTGAGTTTTGCTTCAAAAATGATGGAGAATGGCCTACTCAATCGGGGTCACGTGACTTTCGCTACATGTCAAAAATGACATTTTTTCGAGTTAATCGCTGAAAGTAGGCTTATTTGTTCGAATATCGAAAAACTTTACTCGAAAAAGTTATTTCTATTTCGATTTTACACCTGCTCCTCGAATTTGATCTATCTATCGCAACTTTTAGATTTTGATTTTTTTTTTAATTTTTCGAAATTTCTGTAATATTTGGAGAATTGTTAATTCCACGAAACTACTCCATACCAGTAGCTTTTTCATGCTACTTACTTTCAATTACTCATTGTCACTGATTATGGACAGATATATGATATTCTTCAGAAAATGATAATACGCGCTTCCAAATTCTGTTATGTTTGATGCAAAGTTGATATATCGTCAAGCATTCAGAAACGAAATTCATTTAAACTGATCTTTTCAGTACGGAAAAAATAAATTTGAATGAATTTCGTTTCTAAATGCTCGACTCAAACATAACAGAATTTTGATGTTATGTTTGCATCAAACATAACAGAATTTTGAAGCGGAGATTATCATTTTCTAAAGAAAATCATATTTTTGTCGATAAATAGTGATAATTAGTAATTGAAAGTTAGTAGCATGATGAAACTACTGGTATGAAGTAGTTTTATCGAATTTACAATTTTTTTGATATTACAGAAATTTCGAAAATTTAAAAAAAATATCGAAATCTAAAAAATGTGATAGAAAGATAAAATCCGAGTCACATATTTAAATTTTATATAGAAACAACTTATCCAAGTAAACATTTTAGATATTCGAACAAATAAGCCTACTTTCAGCGATTAATTTGAAAAAATGACACTTTTGACATGTAGCGAAAGTCACGTGACCCCGATTGAGTAGGCCATTTTTCATCTTTTTTGAAGCAAAACTTAACGTCCAACTCGAATTTCAGAATAAGTCATTAATAAAACTTTTTCCCATATGATGCCGACTTTATGAATGACACTGTATATATTACTTCTTATAGTTTAATGATTTGAACGTATTTATCGTTAGGGAGATACGTTTTGAAATATTCGAATTTCCCAATTTGAATGGCGGCAGAGTGACGACAGTACTCGCTGACAAGTTATGTCTTACTGTCTTATTCATCATTTTGTAGAACCAATGGACCAAGAAACCGTGACGTCACAAATGACAGTAAAGAGGTTATTTGTGTTGTTTCCATCTTGCATATTTTTCACTTCATATCGTTTTTATTTCCTGAAATGTAGCTACTATAATACAATAATATATTCGACTTCCTTCGTACTTTTAGTAGAAGATGCAGGGTCTACAGGGATCATTAAATGTAAGACAGTGACAGACAGCTATTTGTCAAAACATTATAAGAATATGATGTTATAACATAACATTCCCGGTCCATTTCGGTTGAATGGAGCTGTCTCTGGACTTCAAGAGATCTGAATGGACATGATTATGCAAAAATCATTTAATTTTGGTGTTATTTTCGAGCAGTTGATTAGTGAGACTCACCCAGAAACGCTCTTGTGCCACCGTACAAAATATTATACATGGCCTGGTCGTGTTTTTACTCAACCTGCTAAACCATTTTTTAATCTATGACTCTGTTTACATTATGCCATGCCTAACTTTGACCCAGACTGATAAACACTTTTGAGAATCTAAGACTTTGAAAACCTTATCAATTCCTCTTTTCTATTTGGGATTGAAGGGGGTTGGAATTTTTTTCTGATTGTTTTTATCCGCTTGAGAAATCGTAGAATTCCTGAGTGATAACTTAAATTTATATCTACGTATTAATTTATCTACCATTTTGATACCATAACCATTGACGCCAGCCACTTTATAAACAACACTCCTTTCAACATCGAATCTTTGTTTGCTCAGAGGAAATGAAACTAGTCTATGTACTAGAAAATTTAAACTTGCTATTTTGTGTTGAAAACAGTGATTGGCGCCATTAGTCATGTATCTAAGTGTGTGAGTTTTTTTTCTAAAAACATCAAATTCTAAATTGTTTTCGCCATATAATTATTATGTGTTGGACTACTGTTCATGCAATGTTTCATTTTGTAGTGGAGTACTTTCTGTAGCTCGTTTTTTTTCTCAACCACAAATTTGTCACAAATAGTTACACTTTACCCCCATATTGAACAATCTTGTCTTCAAACCATTTCATTCCAGGTTCAGTTTGCTAATACGGTGAAAAGCAAATACGATCGACTCGACATGCTGATTCTCAATGCGGGAGTTTTCGGTCTGCCATTCACCAAAACTCTGGATGGTTTCGAGACGACTTTCCAAGTCAATCACCTCTCTCACTTCTACCTGACCATCCTGTTACGACCTCTGTTGGTCACTGGATCAAGGGTCGTATCGGTCTCTTCCGAATCACACAGGTACTTACATCGTTTCAGTATTAATTTCATGTTGATCAATTTGGAAGTTAGGTACACTGCTTGATTATTCATACTAACAAGATGATCCACCTCCATGTTAATGCCAAATTTGGCCTTAGTTCTTGGTTGGTTTGTCGGCTCTAGGGATTTGACTATCCAGTGGTTCTCAAAACTTCAATTATAATGATGGCCATTATTCCATATTTTTGTGGATTTTCTCTCCTCGATTCTATAAAATAAAAATATGAATATTTGTTCAATATACGAGTAGTAAGGACAAATCAGATGATGAAATGTCACTGCATTCAAAGAATTTTCCTATCAGAGAGCCTCAAAGAGAAATTGACTAGCTTGTCAGTGACAATTTGTATTGAAAAAGTTTTGGAGAAGAGAAATGAAGGTATATAGAAAAAATATCACATTTTCACTTATCTTTGAACGTTTCGGAATCGAATCTGCTCCCGTTTCAGTCAACAACGAATATATTCTGCATTACCGATTTCTACCCCTCGCTACACAAAAAGTAGTTCAACTTGTCGCTCATAGATAAATAAATACCTTTATTTTCCTTTAGGCTTTCTAAAAGAGTATAGGAATAGTCAGGTTGTTACAAAAATATAAATCTATAAACTAGATAAATGACAGATTACATAATATAATAGACGAACATTATATAAAAGAGAGAAACATATACAATTTTTATTAGGTAGTTGGATGGTCATTTATGAAAATATTCGTTAAGCGAGTAGAAACACACTTTTCTATGAGGAATGATTTCAATCATTTTTTGAAAGAAGATTCTTTTTTGCGTTTTTCAAATATTCAGGCAAGTTATTGAATATTCTAGTACCTAGTATATTTGGTGTATTACTCAAAATATTTGTTCTGCTTGGTTGAATATAGAATTCGTTCCTCGAGCGAGTGTTCACATCATGTATATCACTGTTGCGAGCAAACAGTTGCTTGTTAACAAATACATAGATACTTGATTCAAATATAAGGAGACACGGCAGCGTTAATATCTTCAACCTTATGAAAAAAGGCTTGAAGTTGTAGTAAAACTATCAAATGTTGGATCAACCAAATCCTTTTATTATTCTATATACTTCAGAATTGACAACTAACTTCATCCATAAAATCTCACAGGGAGATTGATGAAGATTGATCCACTACAATACTCCCCTTCCACAAAAAAAAAAAAATATATATATACATTCTCAAAAGAAAAATTATGGAATCAAATTATTGAAACAGTAATTCCACCAAGAAATTAAATTCTCATTTCTCCTTCAATTTCACAGTTCTCCAAATAAGCAGGCTTAAGTCGGTCTATCGAAATGTACTTTTCTCTTCCATTCAACAGAATCTTGAAAACTTTGTTATTTCTGTCAAGGACTTTGTATGGGCCATCGTATGGTGCTTGTAGAGGTTTTTTTACAGAATCGACTCGTATGAAAACATGAGGTGACTTGAATAAATCCTTATAGATGAAGCCTGTAATTTTGGAATGACTGGAGCCTCGTATTGGCTGGAATTTTTGGAAGTAGTTTCTCAATTGAATAACGAATCCTTCTTGATTGCATATAGATGAATCTTCAACCTTGCTTGGTTGAATAAAATCGCCAGGAATACGTAAAGTTGTACCATAAATCATCTCTGCACTTGTTGCTCCAATATCTTCTTTAAAAGAAGTTCTGAGTCCGAGAAGGACAGTTGGTAACACTTCAGTCCATTTCTCATTGTCATGGCACTTTAGAGCAGCTTTCAATGTCCTGTGCATCCTTTCCACCATTCCATTTGAACAAGGATGGTATGGTGTTGTGTGAATATGTTTAATTCCCAATAACTTAGCTAATTCTCTGAACAACGTCGATTCAAACTGTCGACCCTGATCAGTGGTTACTCTAAGTGGGACACCGAATCTGGAGATCCAACCATTGTAAAAGTGTGATGCCACTGTCTCTGCCCTGATATCTTTGATAGGAAATACTTCTGGCCATCTAGAGAAACGGTCTATACACGTGAGACAATAAGTGTACCCATCTGACGATGGTAAAGGACCAATAATATCCAAATTTATGTGCTCAAACCTGGACGAAACTATTTGAAACTGGCTTATGGGACTTTTAGTATGTCTGTAAATTTTCGACTTTTGGCAAGGAATACACTGTTGAGTCCAAAGTCTTAAATCTTTATCGATCCTTGGCCAGATATATTTACTTTTGATTAGCTTGATTGTTGCTTTCACACCCGGATGAGAAAGATTATGTAACTGTAGGAATATCTGGAACCTCAATTCCTTCGGAACGAATGGCCTGATTGTATTATTTGCCAAATCACAATAAATCTCGAAATCTGTATCAGGAATCTTCAATTTTGTTAGTTTTAAAGAAGTAGCGGAGCTTGAAATGATTGATCTTAACTCTGGATCAGTCTTCTGCTTTTCTTCAAAAGATTTGAGATCGATATTATTCAGAATATCAATTGTATCTACTCTTGAGAAAGCATCTGCAACCATATTATTCCTTCCTTCGATATGTCTTATATCGGTAGAGAACTGTGCAATGAAATCTAAGTATCTTGTTTGTCTAGGAGACAAATTTTCGGAATTCTTTGTGAAAGCAAACGTTAGAGGCATGTGGTCAGTAAAAATTATAAATTCTCGGCCTTCTAATAGGTATCTGAAATACTTTATAGCCTCGTATATAGCAAGTAGCTCCCGATCATAAGTACTGTACTTAACTTGTGCTGGTGATAGTTTTTTAGAAAAGAATCCTAATGGTTGCCAAATGTTCTCTTGATTCTGCTGAACACAAGCACCAATTGAAGAGCTAGATGCATCAACCATGATTGACAGTGGTGCCGAAATTGAGGGGTGTACTAGTAGAGCGGCGTTTACTAAGGCAGCTTTTATCTGTTCGAAGGCAGCTATATGTTCCGGTGAAAATAGCAGCAGCATTTGAAATAGATCCTCGATAGAAGTTGATCATCCCAAGAAATCTTCTCAAAGAACGTATATCGTCAGGACGTTGAAAATTCACCAAAGCCTCAACTTTATTTTTTAATGGTTTTATTCCCTCTGCAGATATCGAATATCCCAGAAAATCGATGTTGGTCTTCCCAAACTCAGATTTTTCGGGATTTATTATTATACCAGCGGTTTGAAATCTTTTGAATACCTCCCTCAGATGTTCCTTATGTTCAGTCTCATTTCTTGAACTAATAAGAAAGTCGTCTATATAGGGAAAACAGTAATCCAAATTTCGAACTACTTCGTGAACAAAACGTTGACAGGTTTGTGCAGCATTACGCAATCCAAACGGCATTTTCAAAAACTCGAACAAACCAAAAGGAGTGATGACTGCAGTTTTCTCGATGTCTTCTTCTGCCATTGGGATTTGATGGAAAGCTCTTACCAAGTCGATTTTAGAAAAAATTCGTTTACCAGATAGATCATTCACAAAATCTTTGATGTTTGGAATGGGATAACGATCTGGAACACTTTTAGCATTGAGTAATCTAAAATCGCCACAGGGTCGCCAATCACCATTAGGTTTTTTGACTAAATGTAATGGACTCGCCCAACAACTTTTTGATGGCCTAATTATACCATTTTCTAACATGTATTGGAATTCTCGTTTAGCTGCTTGGAGTTTTTCTTGATTTAATCTTCTTACTCGACAATGAATTGGGGGGCCATGAGTCACAATTTGGTGAGAAACTGGAGTAGTGACATGGAATTTGTTCGATAAGGGTTTAATTAAATCTGGAAAATCTGCCAAAATTTCATAGAAGGGTGATTCGATATTGATAGATTTGATAATTGGTATATCAGAATTTCGAATTATTCCAGTGTTCTCCAAATGGGTTATTCGATCTATCAACTTTCCTCTAGCCAGATCTATCAGAAGACCAAATTCTTTGAGGAAATCTGCACCAATGATAGACTTTTTAACATCAGCAACAATGAATTTCCAAGTAAAACTTCGACGCAGTCCTAAACTGAGAGTCAATAATTTCTCTCCGAATGTATTGATTTTACTTCCATTGGCTGCATAAAGTGGTCTAATGGTTGGGGTTTCTTCAGTTGTTTGAGGAATGACGGAGATATCTGCACCGGTATCAATGAGAAATTCTATTCTAGTTGTGGGGTCAAATATGAAAAGGCGACTGTTCTTAATGCCATATTCATTAGTCGCCATTAATGACTGGCTGCGTAGTTTTCCGAATTTTTATTGAAATTACATGGTTTAATACACTTGGTGGCATTCTTTTTGAATTGACGATGATACCAGCAAATACTAGGAAGAGGAGACGGAGATCTTGATTGTAAACTTCTCTGAAATCGAACGTCTCGATTTCTACTTCTCGAAATATTACTTGAACTATTTTGCTCTGACTTTTCCAGTTTTCTCAGTATCCTCAATATTTCTTCCATAAAATTATTGTCAGACGGTGGACTTGGAGGTGGCTGCACTACATTTACTTCTTTGATAGGACATTCTACCATCCCATCTGCAATTATTGGGAGTTGATCCGATTTAACGATTTTTCTTAATCCTCTTAGATGTCTCTCAATTTCTCTGGGTAATTTTTGTAGCCACAGAGAAATTATCACCTCCTGATCAATCTTATTGCAAGACATATCACACATTTGCCTAAAAAAAACACTTGGTTTCTCTTCACCAAGCTCGAAACCGCTAAGTATTCTATTTATTTTCGATTCTTCACTAATCGTGAATAATTCAATCAGTTGATTCTTTAATTCATGATATTTTTGTTCATTATATGGTTTTCTCATGATATTCGATACCTGTGTGATTATACTTGAATCTAATGAATCAATAACTTTATGATATTTCACCCTGTTGCAAGTTATTTTGGCTTCTTCAAACTTTTCTTCAGCATTGATGAACCAAATTTCAGCTTCATGCTTCCAAAACTGGGGCAACGAAAACTTCATGTGTGAATGGACAGAATTGGAAACTTCGTTGGATGAAAATAGAGATGTTGAGGAATTGGGTGGATTGAGGGCAGCAACTGACGAAGAATAATTTTTTTCTTGACGAACCTCTTCTATCTTCTTGATTAGTTCTTCTTTATCAGATATTAGCTTGGCACTTATTGTTTGGAGGCAACTTTTCAGAAGATTTTGTTGGGAAACAATTTCTGAGGTGAAGTCACTAAGAAGATTCTGAAAATCTGCTATAGTAAGTACTGTTTTCTCTGATTTATCATCTCCTTCTTTCGAACAGGAACTTAAAAGAGAAGCAATATCGAGCTCGGAAGGATTTTCGTGAAGTTCTCCGATTCCTTTTTCTAATCGAATCAATTTGTCAGCCTTCGTACCACTAACATCAAGTCCAAGTTTTTTGAGTGCGATGGACAATTCTTCAGTTGTGAAATCATTTATCGACGTCTTAACCATATCCAGAACTAGTCGGGGTCACCAATTTTGTAGTAAAACTATCAAATGTTGGATCAACCAAATCCTTTTATTATTCTATATACTTCAGAATTGACAACTAACTTCATCCATAAAATCTCACAGGGAGATTGATGAAGATTGATCCACTACAAAGTAATCCATTCTCTGAATGCCCATCATACTCCTTACAGCTTTTTTTTGAGCCAGAAAAATATCCTTTGCTGATGTAGATGACACCCAGAAACATATACCATATCGGATACGTGAGTCCACTTAAGCAAAGTAGAGAGTCCACAATTGATTTAAATTCAAGGTATTTCTCAGAGTCCTGAGCTGAAAATTCATGACATTAATCTTTTCATAATGTATTCACAGGTAAGACATTCACCAAGAAATACGCCTAAGAATTTAACAACCTCCTGATTCGTGTTTAGGGTTGATTCACCCACCCTAAAGCTCAGATCATTACATTGTTTTTGTCTCCTATGGAATCTAACTGATGATGAAGTCTTGCTGCTATTAAGAAACAAATCATTTTTTGCAAATCATCTCTGTAGAATAGAGAAAGTGTTGTCAATTTTGCCTATTAGTTCTTTGTCAGCCCTATTAGAGATCATTACCGAGGTATCGACAGCATAACAGGTGAGGGATGCTGGAACATTCAATTGATTCATATCATTCGTATAGAGATGTCACCTCCTAGAGAATAGAATTTCTTGTTAGTGTAAATAATGAAGGGTACACTTCAGATTTATCGATTGTTGTCGTCTTTGCCAGATTCGCCAACCTCACCATACAAAACATATCTCCTCAAACCTTGTCGCCGGACTCTGCTAGCAAATATTGGGACATGATGGCATACAACAACTCGAAGCTTTGCAATGTGCTGTTTGCCCGTCAGTTAGCCAAAAATTTGCAGGTGGGTTATCAGTAATTAGAGTTCCTAAATGTACTTTGTACTGCTGTTTTGACGATTTTTGTATATTAGAGTACGGGCACATAATTTTGTGAAAACATATAGTCACTTCGTGGAACTCTGATGTACCAGATGTATCTATATCAAAGAGTTGAATATATTGTTCGTGTATCGCTTCTTCAAAGTTGAAATCTCAAGTCTGAATGTGCATGTTCATGCGTAGTTTAGAAGTGCTAGACGACTACATAGCTCCTAGTGGATTTTGAACTACTCCTTGGGTACTAAGATACTAGTAAGATATTATCAGAGGAAAGAACAAGAGAACTTAACGAGTGCACCATTTATGTCAAGTATTGAAAATGATCTTCCGATGGCCGGGTTCAAACAAACAATCCCCTTTAGCAATGTGGACGGCGATCTATAGTGAGTCGAGCGCTGAAGTTCATTTATACCTATTTCCGTATGTCTTGGAGAACCTTTATTATTTACTGTAACTGAAATCAGCTGTTATTGTTTCCATATCATTTGTTCATTTATTAATTACTTATTACCTACCACTCTTGTACAAGTGAAATTGTTCCATACGAAATAAAAGTAGGTTTCATTGGTTGAAATTTATCAGTTTTGATCCCATTCTGAACTTTTGTGATCGAAAAACATTCAACTGAACGTATATATATACGTACATGTAAGACTAATTTCATAGGAATAGTATATGTTATTCGTTGGGTATATAAGTACATACCAACTTAATATCGACCTCCATTGAGGTCCTTCAGCCTTATCATTCAATATTTCGAGAAGAACTGAATTTCTAAACCATTTATCGTACCCTTTTACCCACTCGAGGAGACGCTATGCACTCTCATACAAAAATCAAAGACAGAGAAAGATATATGGATGCACTCTTCCCAGGATTTGTGATGGAAGGAAGATGCGAGGATCCTTTATCTAAGCGAAAAACATATTCTTGTCCTTTATCGGGCATAACATATGATTTGCTTCAAAATCGTTTGTGGTTATGTTTGATTGTCACTGCTTGTCTAGTGTCCGTACTCTAGTACACAAAAAACGTCAAAACAGCAGTGTCAAGTACATTTAGTATAGTTTTTATTCGTTTTCGTTTGAAAAATTCATTCTGAAGCAGGTTCACTAAACGACAATTTTATATAATCTTAGGGTCTTGCAGAATGATTCCATGATGATGAAATAAAAGGCTTATTCTGGTGACCCTTAGTAATCTCTCAACATTGGGGATATACAATAATTGTTTATTGACTTGATGTTTTATTATGGCGCCATCCTTGATGAATGCACTTTTCAATATCAGTGCCAATACTACCAACGTTATACAGGGTGTTGCGAAATTCGACCGACAACGCTTGACAGGTGATAACCCCCTTGAATGCATAATCACTGAGATAGGGACATACGGTCTTCAATTGTTCAGTTCTCGAGATACAGGGCATTGAAGTTGAGAAATAAAAATAGTTGTTTCGCAATATCTCAAGAAAAATTGAATAAGAATCCGCCATGATTAATGGAACTGCTTCAATAACCAATAGCATAGAATAGAATAGAAGTTTATAGACTATGTTGTGAATATACAAGGCACATTTATAGCAGGTCAAAAACATTCATACATGTAAATTTGTGAATAAACAGACAATTTTCATTAAAATACATACTCATAAAATCACTGTGTGAACTGTGTGATGGTCATATGTTATTTTTTAGAAATCGGCACTGAGATACTTCTTAACGAAGTAAAAACTGTTGCAAACTAAAATATGTTTATGGTTGTTTTGAATAGCTCAAATTTCATTTGTTTGATATCGTCTGGCATCTTATTGAAAAGTCGAAGATTGCGGAGTTCCGTGCAGATATGGTATCGAGGATTTAATAGATTATTATTTTTTGTATTGTACTGGTGTATGTCATTATAGCAGTGTAAGTTCTTATGTGTTTATGAATCTCAAGGAGACTCTGATATATGAAGACTGATGGTCTACATGAGTCTCTATGTCCAGCACCTGTAATAACTCCCACTGCCTCTTTCTGCATTATAAAAACACTGGAGACCTGATAGAAATTTATCTATAGTAAGGTTCCATAGCTAATATGCGGAATTTATTCATAGTAAGGTTCAATAGCTAATATGCGAGTGAGATAATGCAAAATTTGATACTCTCAGTACATCGCGGCTCACGAATTGTCTCGCAGTAAAAAAATTTGGCTTGTTCCATAGACTGTCGATGTGAGATGACGAGTTTAGTTTATCATCTAGAGTGATGCCAAGCAATTTAGCAGTACTTCCATGTTATTATCAGAAGAGAATAATAATTTTTGAGACTTGCTTTCATTTTGTTTGAGCATATTACTAACTAGCCACTCGTCAATTTTAGTATGTGCTGTATTATCTTTGCTTTCAATGTTCGTCAGACTTGTCTGAATAATAAAATGTTGCGTCATCAGCAAATAATATACACCTCGTTGTACTCATGTTCAGAGATATATCATTCACGTATATTATGAATCGAAGGGGCCCAAGTACCGAGCCTTGTGGAACTCCAAAATCATTCTGTTGAATATCCCATGGTCACCAGAACAAGCTTGAATGAATAATTAATTCCACATCAAAAATCCACACTATATGTCTGTGTATGTACAGGACTGCGGCATCTCGGTATTCAGTTTGCACCCCGGCAACATGGTGTCCACTCGTCTGGCGCGCAACTGGTGGCTGTACAGGGTGTTGTTCGCCGTCGTGCGACCGTTTACCAAGAGCTTACAGCAAGCAGCCAGCACTGTGGTGTATTGCGCCACTGCTATAGAATTGGTCGGCGTCACAGGTTAGAAAATAAAAGTCTTACATTTTTCATCTTCATTGCGTATGCCAAACTTTCGTTTCATTTGAAACACACATAAATAAATGTTGAATATATACAAAACCAGCCGAAAAGTCTACTTTCGACTGGCGACCACGGCGACATCAACTAACCGCCCTAACGTAACGTCAATTCCTCTCGTTATTTAAATGAAATTTGATGAAAAAAGTAGCAAGGAATAATAGGTCAGGTCACAGGTCAGGTTTTATTCAGTTTCTTGAATAAAATGAACAACTGGCAAGTCCCATTTTACGTCGGTCATTCAAGTTCCAGATTTGCGAGAAAAGATCTTACCTAGGTAAGGAAGAATTAATTTCAAATCATTGAATCCCAACTTATCATCACCATCACTTGGACACTTGCATCTCATTCAATACTGCAACTTGGGAAGTTATTTTCAATATTTGTGACTGGGAACCTAATTGATAGAGATATTCGAGATAATTCTGTCGCTTCATTGTTTCATTAGAAGTAATTATTGTAAATGAACAAGCCATATATTCAAAGCGATTCAATCTGAAATCTACAGCTATAATTATTTTATGTCAAACTGACGGACTTTCCTTTTCTATCCAAAAAACACCAACGTTGTTAGACCAATCAGAATTGAAAGACAGCTCATTCCAAAACTGGGTGAAATATTCAGATGTACCACTTCATTTGTCAAGTAGTTTATGTGTTCAATAACTTTCTTTAGGTGTTTACTTCAACAACTGCTACCAGTGCCAAGAGAGCGCTGTTGCCAAAGACGACGAAATGGCCAAAATTCTTTGGGACACTAGCGTCGAAATGATTAAGACCGTTTTAGGGAACAATGCACCCGGATTGGATCATGAAAACAAGAAATCTTTGGAAGAATGAAGACCTTCAACTGGAAGAAGAGAAAGGTAATGATTTTGTTCTAATTCCTAAATGTAGAAATGGATTAAACCTTTCTTAATTGTTATTTACTTCATGATGAACAAACTCAAAATAGTCATCAAGAGGGAATTGTATTTCTTTTCACTAAGTATCCCAAGAAGATGCAACAATTTGAAAGTTATGTTGATGCAATGTTGGAGCAAAAACTGAAATGGGCGTTCAGCAATATTGCAAAGGTGAAGTTTGATATTGTAGCGTTGCAGCAATATTACATGTTGCTGTGAGATTGCTGGAACGTTACATTTTATTCCGGACATACTTGCGTCATGTGATAACGAGTTGAAACAAAATGCAAATGAAAGAAAAACATGTCTCTTTTTCGAATATCCAAACATTCCGCAATTCAAAGTGATCTTAGTGGCAGAGCGTCAATATTTCCGTGAATATTTCGCCATCGTCAAAAGATAATATCCGATGGACCAGTGTGAAACCCATAAAAGAAATCTCTATGATGGAATGTTTTTTTTAATGTTCCATATTACATTTGTATATTTAAAGTTATATAATTCATGAAATATTATTTGGAGGAAGCAACATCGACTGCAGCTTTGCACTACTATAACAGGAAATGCCATGGATACTTGAAAACCCGTTCCATAACCGGAACCTAGGCAACGACACATTCTAGTGTGTCTCGTTAAAAAAAAAGGTCTAGGGGATTTCAATGAAAGATCATGAAAACATTGCCAAATTTAATTGAGCCAACAAAAGTCAACTTCAGATCTAAAGTGTTAACATTGAACATTCATTTGCGGGAACGTCATCATTCATTAACTTTATCCGTCAAAATTACTCGTTAAAACAGAAATTATACTTTTAGAATATTTTGAGTATTAAAACAGTCTTGAAAGAATAACTTGAAAATTAGTTAAACTAAAGACAACGTGCGAGAGCCTACAATAAAAAAAAATATACAATAAAAAATAAATACATTATATACAACACTGGCAGTAGCGTAAAATAAATTAACAAATACAATGATACAGATACAATGTCTAAGACTAGCCGAGCTTACCTGGTGAACAAAACATTCTAGTGATGTACACCTAAAAATAAGCTCAGAGGTATTTCAAACAATAGTTCTGGTTCCTTATGGCGCTATATCTATTGAACCGCAATAATTATCAATAGTTAATCAAGTTGTGGGAATCAGAACCACAATGTATTCGAAGAAAAAACAAATTAGGAGAGGTTCCTCAGCTTTTTTCAACTCTGTATTTGAAAAACTGTACAAGATGAGAGAAACCAACATTATTTTCATGATAATACCTCAAGAATACTCAACATAAAAAATGTAAGGCAATCATAGCAGCCAGAATCGAGAAATATAGCAATCCCATTAATTTTTTAGCAGAAAATTTACAAAGGTCATATACAAGGTGGTATTGAAAACACCTTGTATATACAGCCATCGAATTGGGCCCTAAAAGTGAGTAACTTAATTTTTTAAATGTTTTTCTCCTTTGAGAAAATATTGGAGATCGAGAGAAACTAAGATTATTGTCATGTATGATAATGTTCACCCAATTCTGTTTCCTAGCCAGAGACATTGAGAGTAGTAAAGGGTACAGAAAAACAAGGAAGCAAAATTATGTTTGGTACTCAAGTAAAAAACGAAATTATCTGGTAACTGATACCTCTCCATCATTTTGAGTAATCTTGTGGAAAGTGAAAAAAACTGCTGTCTTTTATGAGCATCAGCGGAGAAATGCAATACCTCTCATTCCATGTGAGGTTGGGGCAAGTGTCCCTTTTCTTTCCCTGCCCCCTCATTAGTAGAGAAAAACTATTACCATTTTCGTACACCCAAAATCATCATCTTGTCAATGTCACATGTTTCAAGGCTCTGTGGCTTTTGAATTTCAATTGTCACTTTCAAAAGGTCACAATTCGAAGAGATTTTTGACATCCATTATGTACCATACAGAGTATAAAAGCCGATGAAGCTTTCCTGTTTGATTTTCCGAGTATGAACGTTTTTTATTGGAAAAGGTGAACTTTTCCAAATAAATTGTGGAAACTAAATATTCAATAATCTTAACCTAAGTATTGCACCTCAATATGAGGTAGATATAAATGAGCAGCTGAAGAGAATGACAATTGCAGGATAACAAAGTAATTCTATGCTCATTTGTTATTTTTGGCAGTAAGTCATTTTGCCGACTAAATCACAATTTTGTCATGATAGACCAGATTCAACCTGAGGCCAACATATATTTTTCACTTCAAATAGTTTTCATTCAATAGTGGTTGCCGACAAAAGGGCAGGATCAGTAACATCAATTTGGCATGGCAGTCACTTTAACCTACCTACTTAAAAAGTAAACTTTATGCAACATTTATAATACTAAAATACTGGGCAGTTATTTCTTAATACGAACGTCTTCTCAATCGATATCTTCTTGCGGTGTTGAAATTAAAGCTTCACAAAGTACAGATTGTCATCTAAATGTGGTTTCATAGCTGTTATCGCGTCAATAATCATCACAATTTGGATACCAAAAATGCGTGAAAACAATAAATTATTGCTCAAAAAATATTATCTTTTCTCTATATCTTTATTTCGCCTAAACATATTGAACTCAATTCAGCTCGAGACGTATGGCAGATGTGCAGAATAAACAAAATCCTGCTCAATTTTTTGTCTTCTCGACTCTGATGATGCAAAGTTTCTAATGAATCGATTTGGAAACTTTTTTTTTTTTGGTCTCACGCCTCACGTTTTCCCAAATGTGTCTTAGAAAACCGAATATTAGGTTATTTCAACAGCCAATCCTATATTAGGATCAGGCAGACAATTTCCACAATAACCTCCACATTTACCAGATGCAGAAGTTTCCTGAAATGAAAGCAAAAGAATCATATTTATCATGCAGCAAAATGGTTGGATTCAAATAGATGAGTTCCAGTGCGGTAACACAAAAAAAGAAGAAGACCATTCTAACCTCATTGTAGAAAATTTAATTCATTAACACACAGATGGCTACAAAATCGAACTGGAATAGGAGTCTACGTGCCTCATACCAAGTTATAATTTATACAGCTTCAACTACACGAGGTGGGAAAAATCTTCAAAAATTAAAGTTGTAGGTTTTCATCTGTACTACCTTTTGGCACTCTTTAAATAAACAAATGCGAATCGCAAAATGGAAAAAAGGAGTCCAATTGTTTGTTTGGCTAAAAATGAATTTACTCAGTACTTTACGAATGCACTGTATAATAGAACCATCTCATATCCTGAAATGAGGGATATAGGACTAGAGAAAATGCGAGAAATTGCTTTAGCTATGGAGAACAACTCAATTGGGTTTATCAAAAGATCTTTTAGCTCACATTGTATTCACATCATTACAAATAGAAAAGGTTAGGTTCAACTCACATTTTGAGCGATTGAACCTTTGAACATATAAAAAAAACAAAATTTGACTAGTACGCTGGATTCCAATGAGGGGTCACAAGCCATAGGGTTACATTATTTGAAAAAATCATGTAGAGGGTGGATTCAGCTACCCCTGGTGGGATATATTCTCCATATTGCTTGCAAAAGGTAGGTAAATACACCAAATCTTTGACGTATGTCGGGAATTTTTAGAAAAAATATTCAACTCCCCACTAACGAAATTATTCCAGTCTCCACACTGAATAATAACAGATTCAGCAAATAAAATCATGAAATTCTTTTGGGTTGCAACTCGGGTTCCAAGGAAAACGATCCCACTACTTCTGGTTTTATGTGACAAAATTCAATGTTTGCCCTCCAACGATCTGTCAAATGACGTACCTAATTCTAGAATGTTTAATTGACCATTCCAGAACACTTGATTTTGACACGGTTTCTTCTGCAAGGTTACCTTTGATTAGTATAGCTTCCACATCCACAACATAATAACAGATTCACCAATCAAAATAATGAAATTCTTTTTGGTTTCAACTCAGATTCCAAGGAAAAGGTTATCCTCACTTCTGGTTTCATATGTTGAAATACAATGTTTGCCCTCCAATGACCTGTCAAATGACGTAATTCTGAAGTGATTGATATTTTGTGTTGCTAGCTCTCTTTTTTTGAGGTTAATATGGTTTCCTTCTCATTTTTGCTTTTACTGACATTAAAATTTCATTATTTCACGTTGGAACCATGAAGACATTGACAGAAGGAGAACTAGAAGAAGATATTTTAGTCTTCCTCAGACATATTTGGGTTTCTCGCACTGAATACGTACCGTTTTCCTAATGTCCGCTGACGCGTTAGGCCCTACTGTTTTCCACCGAACGTTGCTCGCCAATTTGAAAGAGGTGTGACTCAGATCGACCTCGAATCTTCCCTGAGCACAACCTTGCACGGAACTGTAGCAATCTCCCGCCGTCCCGAAAGGCACTCGAATCCCTTTGAGCTGTTTCGAAAACGTAAAGTCGTCTCCTGTGAAGATGATAGGAGAATTTTAAAAGAATTTTTTTTTGAGAATTCATCAATATAATATGTATAGGAAACATCATAATATCAACAATCCCAATAGCATAACAACACACAGCATAACACCAACAGTTTCTTGATTAAATAATATAGAAAAATAAATATTAACTTATTGTTCTTTTATCATAGCAAGTCTCTCTGTCTCAGGTACTCCTTAATACATTATTCAAAGTTTCTAACAGTCTCACATTCTTTTATGCTTTGAGAGAGAGAATTATATTCTTTTAGTCCTTTATAGAACATTGAGTTCATACCCTTATTGGTAAGTATTCTGCTTAGATGAAAATCATCACGAGATCTCGTTTGGTAATCATGAATTTCTGCACTAAAAATAACAAACTGATCTTGATAATCTGACAATAAACCCTTCAATAGTTTGAAGATAAAACTCAATGCAAAAGTTGCCAGTCTTTCATTTACAAATTGCCATTGTAATGTTTCCAACATGTTACGAATAGAAATGAGGTACGCCTGTTACATTTCAAAATTATCTGCATTCCTCTGTTTTAAAGTTTCTGTAACGATGACCGAGAGTTATTATCTAATAAATACAGTATTGATAAACCTAGAATCTCAAGACTAAGAGATTCTAGGGAAATTTCGTAAAGTCATTAGTCTCATCAGTTGCACTGGCCAGCTGACAATCGATTCACGAAGGGTACCTCCATATATCAAACAAGTCGAAGCCCTGAGGGGGCAGAAGGTTGATCTAGCCTTCATAGCCATCTAGTGGCTCAAGTGCAAAGGTGTATAGGTAGATTCATCAATCATACCTTGCGACCAAGTCATGCATAGAACCTACGTCTATATGCTTACAGAACAGACGCCATGTCAGAATTCTGTAGACTATCGCAACACCTGTAATTCTCGAAGTGGTTTAACGTTCCACTAACAGATGGTGATAAACCTAGAATCTCAAGACTAAGAGATTCTAGATATATGGAGGTACCCTTCGGTAATCGATTGTCAGCTGGCCAGTGCAACTGATGAGACTTATGGCGAGTCGAAACAGTCTGTCTTGCATCAGCTGACAATCGATTCACGAAATTTCCCTAGAATCTCTTAGTCTTGAGATTCTAGGTTTATCACCATCTGTTAGTGGAACATTAAACCACTTTGAGAATTACAGCTGTTGCGATAGTCTACAGAATTCTGACATGGCGTCTTTTCTGTAAGCATATAGACGTAGGGGTCTATATGCATGACTTAGTCGCAAGGTATGATCGATGAATCTACCTATACACCTTTGCACTTGAGCCACTAGATGGCTATGAAGGCTAGATCGTCCTTCTGCCCCGTCAGGGCTTCGAAATACAGTATTGTATGTAGCGCAGTAATCGAAATGTGGCCGGATAATAGTATCATAAATAATGTTACTCATAATTCGTGTTGGTAGCTAACGTTGAACTGTATAGGTTGAGTTGAAAAACAGCTTCTGCTGTCACTCCATCTCTTCATCAAACACCTTTTTCGGTTTTGATGAATAAAGTCGATTTATTATTATTATTACTATTATAAGAAGCTACAATGTATCGTGTCGTATTTTTGAAATCTTATGGCTTGTGAAGTTTTTTCAATTAACATGGACTGTCATCATGCAACAGTCTCAATATCTCACCTATAATCAGCATGGAAGTGACGTTCACTCTGACCTTCCAGAACTTCGTGAATCCAGATCTGTCAGGTCCAATTTGGTCACAATCGCAATTGTCCCTTCTTTGGCCGTTGTGTGGACACGTTCTGATGTCCATCAGCCTAACAAAACAAAATTAGATGAGAAATTATTAACATATGCTCATAACTATGGTGTAGCTATTGGATAGAAAAGGGCATCGTCAAACATTCTTGATTTTATATCTCTGGTGAGAATATACCGAGTGCCCTTAAAAGGTCTTTACAGAAACTCACCACATTCCTCAGACTGAAACAATTAGGTATAGAACAAAGTTGATTATCATTATTTTTATACCCTGTCTACCTTAATAAATCTAAACATTCAAAAACACTAACAATTGCCATTTCTGTGTCCGAACTCTTATCTGACTAATCCTAAATGTACTTGACACTGCTGTTTTGACGTTTTTTGTATATTAAAGTACGGACACTAGACAAGCAGTGACAATCAAACATAACCACTAACGATTTTGAAGCAAATCATATGTTTTGCCAGACAAGGACAAGAATATGTTTTTCGCTTAGGTAAAGGATCCTCGCATCTTCCTTCCTCCACAAATCCTGGGAAGAGTACATCCATATATCTTTCTCTGTCTTTGATTTTTGTATGAGAGTGCATAGCGTCTCCTCTAGTGGGTAAAAGGGTACGATAAATGGTTTAGAAATTCAGTTCTCCTCGAAATATTGAATGATAAGGCTGAAGGACCTCAATGGAGGTCGATATCAAGTTGGTATGTACATATATACCAACGAAAGACATCTATCCCTATGAAATAAGTCTTTTATATGTAGGTATCTATTGGCATAAGGTTCTTTTCGATACTCGCTCAATTTATAAATTGTGGGTTCGGCTCTTTCTCTCAATACGATCCTATTCCTCAACATCAAATCTTTCGTTCTGAAGTGTACCTGATAAAAATGCGTTGAAAAATGTTCTATATCCTACCAACAAGATTGAATACCTCGCAAATTTCGTGGCCTGAACCTATATTACATGCCGGCCGCATCATATTCTGTTTCCATTTTTGTAGAATTACGTCATCCGGTGGAAATTCGAATTAAGTGAATTGATTTCCCGTGTTCTCACAGTTGGAAACTGCAAGAACTTGCATCTTTCCCCTAATTCTCTCAATTTGTCAAACCTTTGAAATGTATGTCATGTACGTTCGTGTACTGTCAGTTCCCGCAATTTATTTGTGGTTATGTCTGATTGTCAGTGCTTGTCATAGTGTCCGTACTCTGATATACAAAAAACGTCAAAACAGTAGTGTCAAGTACATTTTTAGGAACTCTTAACTGATACCATCCAGTGGCATTACCAAAAAGGAGTGAATTCAACGATACTAGGGTCCCTTGATTCAAACTGACGTATTTGTCATCTTAACAGGGTACGGACAGATCCTCGTCACCTCTCACTCTAAAGTGTTTGTGAAACAGTTATATAGTTCCATCCTTATTCAATTCTGGGGATAAACACTAGATTTTTGACATTTACTGTTTTTTAGGTTATATTGAGGTCATTGGCGTATCATACGTAATTTCCATATGGAATTCCTAATTCAACTATACCAAGATATAGATGAAAAATCCTCTAGTTTCAGAGTTTACTACTCCAGCATAATCTTTGCGAGGTAGGGAACATATAAATTGTACTGAAAGCTTAAGATATTCCACCAAATGAGACTGAACTGAATGAATTCTGATTTTAAGCTGAGCAGTAGTTTATCTATGACCTGAATGAGCTGAGCCTTATGATTGAGAAATAGTGGAAACTTCGATGTGTTATCTAAACTACTGTACTCATGTCATGTGTGCTAAACATATTTTAGGAAATCCAACTCGGAGAAGAATTTATGGAGTGACTAATATCACACTATGTATAAAACTTCGTCTAGGACGAAGAGTAGTCTGATAAAAAGTGATACGTAAAATGTGCAAGAAAATAAAGAATAGAATATACTTCACCCCCATGTATGAATTTTTCCGTCTCCCTTAAATTAAAAGTAATTTTCAAATAATTTATTGTTCAAGGTTACAAAGAAGTAGGTATACAGTATAACTTATAGGCACGTTATTTTTACTCTTGCATCTTACATATTTTCAATTTGTGGTAGAGTAATAATTAAATAAACTGATTGCTGCACATACCCTTCAGCGATATTCGTAGACTTCCAAGAATGTCTCCTCCAGAATTTGCAAGTAAACTTGAAATTTCCAAGTTTGACGAAACAATCATTATCTCCAACCTCGGAAAACCCCAGATACCTTCCAATTTTGAATAGAATCGGATCATAATTACAAAACTCGTTCGCCATATGATCTTCCTCAACAAGTAAATACCCAGTACATACCTATTATTAAAATTTTGAAGGATTTTCTGTAGCGCCCATGGATGTGACGTGACAGCAATGTCAGGGATGCCAGTAGACAAAACTAAAGTCTCTAGATCAATAAAAATGAATGCAGCTATGTTCTGTCCGTACCCTGTTAAGATGACTTTAACGTCAATTTCCATCAATGGACCCTAAACGATACCAACTGGAAATCTCATCTTTATAGCTCACCTTCGATCATATATTTCCGCGAAATTGTACTTGTCCGGATGCAAACTGATGTACTCCAACGGTTCCGCCGTGTCCATTTTGTAGCAGTAAACCTTCACCGACCTGCCGCGCGTCGCTATCACGTAATCCTTGTTCACTTTTGTGCGCGTGCGCAGCTTGATCTCCTTGCAGCTCTCGTACAGCCCCGAGACAGACCCGCGTTGGTGGTCGGCTTGGTCCAGATGGCGCTGCGGCAGCGGCTTGCATCGCCATTGGTTGCACTTGCGCTTTCTCGGCGGTCGTAGGTTGCGTGGGCAATAATGACGCGGCACTTTCTGTGACGTTCTGACGCTTGCGCAATTGAGGACGCGGATCTGCCTGCCTTTTCTGCCGCATTTGTGGGAACACTGTAAACGTTTGTCGAGTGTTATGGGCTTTCTGCATGGTGATAAACTTCGATAAAATGAGAAGCTTTTGTGTTTCGTGTCAAATTTATTATGAAATCGGTAAGCGCTTTCGGCCAAAGAGCCATCATCAGTGCTCGATTTTATAATAAATTTCACACGAGATACAAAATCTCTCCATTTTATTGATCAGTTACGTATACAGTGTGTCCCACTTAGCATGCTCACCATGGGTATCTTTTAAACGGTGAGAGATACGAGGTTAAATGACACCAAATGTGGAGTTTGTCAGGGCCAACTATAATGTGAAAAAATATTTTGATAAAATCTATTCGTTTTTGTTTTATACGCAAAAAACAGATTTTGATCATTTTCATGTCTCCTCCGTAACTTCTTTATTTATGAAAATATTCAAATAGGAATTTCACATTCTCATGGCAGTTTTTCAAAGTGATTTCGAAAAAAATATGAAATTTATACCAACTCTTCTAGAATTTGAGATATCAGCACCAACTTTAGGTTTTCAAATGTAAGTCATAGCTCACTATGACTTAGTTACATATAATTTTTTTTTCTCTTCCAGATGATATGTCGCAGTAATAGTTTTGTGTTGATAACAACGGAGTTATCGTCATTTATACAAGAACAAAAAATTATTTGGAAGCCGCCATCTTGAATTTATAAATTTTAACAAAAAAATCATGATCTCCGACCTCAAAAACAGCCACTCACCAATTTTGAATGGAATCGGACCAAATCTTGTCCGCCATCTTGGAGCAGCCATTTTTTTTAATTTCAACAAAAATTCCATAACTCCGATTAACTTGAAATTAGCAGGTGTTCATAATTCCGGTGACAATACATTAGGGAATTTTTGTTGAAATTAAAAAAAATGGCTGCTCCAAGATGGCGGACAAGATTTTGTCCGATTCCATTCAAAATTGGTAAGTGGGTGTTTTTGAGGTCGGAGATCATGATTTTCTTGATAAAATTTATAAATTCAAGATGGCGGCTTCCAAATAATTTTTTATTTTTGTGTAAATGACGATAACTCCGTTGATATCAACACAAAACTATTACTGCGACATATCATCTGAAAGAGAAAAAAAAGTTATTTGTAACTAAGTCATAGTGAGCTATGACCTACATTTGAAAAACTAAAGTTGGTGCTGATATCTCAAATTCTAGAAGAGTTGATATAGATTTCATATTTTTTTCGAAATCACTTTGAAAAACTGCCATGAGAATGTGAAATTCCTATTTGAATATTTTCATAAATGAAGAAGTTACGGAGGAGACATGAAAATGATCAAAATCTGTTTACTGCGTATAAAACAAAAACGAATAGATTTTATCAAAATATTTTTTCACATTATAGTTGGCCTTGACAAACTCCACATTTGGTGTCATTTAACCGACCTCGTATCTCTCACCGTTTAAAAGACACCCATGGTGAGCATGGTAAGTGGGACACCCTGTATGCAACTAGTACAGATAAACTTCGAAGCAGACCAGGGTTATGTTATATATTTTACTGAGCGGGTTACGGTGAACCATCTTCTTGGATTTTTTAAATTTATTTTTGATGTTAATGACGTCACATGAGGACAAACAATGACAAATAGAATATCCAACTCAGGAATGTTTGACCTTCTGAAGTAGTCCATACTCGAAGTGGAGGAGGATGATCAACGAGCAAAAAAACACAAAGTCGTCTCCACAAGTTTACTGGCGAAATTTGCAGTTAATTCTGATTGAGACATGTTTCGACCATTCAAATGATCATCATCAGTCATAGTACTAATAAAGTTGATGTGGAAGTGGCTATAACATCATGAAGACGATTTTTTTTTATTACAAGGACATTTTTAAAAATATAATACTTTTCCAAATATAGTTTAGTGTCCTTTTAATAAAGAAAGTTGTTTCTACATTCCATGAATGTTCATACTTTTTTCTTGAAATTTCTGGCAACAAATCTAACTTTTGTAGTTTATTCCATTATCGCTGGCGTGAAGTTGAACAGCAGCCAACTAAGTTTTGGTCGATATTTGTTGATTCTCCATGGAAATGTTTGTGGTGTTGGCAAAGTGACGTGAAAAAAATATTTCTCACAGTATGAGCAATACGTGGTTTTGAAAACTTGAGTAAGCTATGAGAACAAATAGGCTACTTTTCATAGCAGTTGTAGAAATACAGGGTTTCCATAAATGATCGTAACATCGTAGTAGCCGTTGAAATATTTCCTCCATTGGCCGCCTTTCATTTATGGAGATTCACACATTCGAATTAAATTTCTGACATCAATCATTATACTGTCATAGCTGATAAACTCACAACTGTCAGTTTTTCGTTAAAATATTCAAACGATTCTGTTTTCCTCTTCGGGATTGTCGTTTTGAAAAGAGGGATGGCTTATTCCTCGGAGCAGAATACATTTATTGTAATGTCTTATTATCGAAAAGGCACATTCTTCAATGGTGGATGGAATTACTCGGTAGTAGCCTGCAAGGATGAGTACCTGGCGAAATATCCTAATGTACAGATTCAAGAATCTTCTTTGAAAGCCCACATCAGAACAGTGATCAACAGATTCATCCAAACTGGAAACGTTAATAAAAAGAAATCAACAGGGAGGCCCCAAATATCGGAAGAAGTTGTCGAAAATCTAAGGGCGCGTGTTGAGCAAAATCCCCAAACGTCATTGAAGAGATTATCTTTACAATCTGGTGTGCCATAAAGTGCTCAAGAAAAGATTGCATATGCACTCTTACAAGACCAGTGTACTACAGCAACTTCTGCCAATAGATATCCCACGTCGTCTGGAGTACTGCCAATGGTTCCAAAATAATCTCAACGATGACCAGCTATTGGACCTAACATTTTTCAGCGATGAGGCTTGGTTTAATTGGTCGGGATACGTGAACTCACAAAATTTTTGGTTTTGGAGATCTGAGAATCCCCACAATTTCATTGAGACTCCACTACATTCTCAAAAAATTGGGGTGTGGTTAGCAGTTTCTCGTAGGCGATTATTTGGACCGATTTTCTTCGATGGCACTATCAATGGTGAAAGGTACAGACAAGTGATGTTAGAACCATTCATCAATCAACTTGATGATGAAGAAATTCGAGTTGCCCACACCACACGTGCAAATTTAGAATATTTACAAGAATTTTATGACAACCGTGTGATAAGTCGAGGAGTTGATCCTTCTTTGCCAACACGTTGGATTTTTGCCTTTTTGGATATTTGAAAGACGAAGTATTCAAGAGAGACAATAATAACCTTGAAGAGCTGCAAGCCTCAATAACACATTGCTGCCAAAATATTGTCCCGGAAAAGCTGAGGAACATTATCGACAACAAACGGCGAAGAGTTTTGAAATGCTTGGAGAACAACGGAGACCATTTTGAACATTTGATGTAGGTTAATGAAATAAACCGTTATTTATTACTTCTTTGATAAATATTTTTGATTTGTATTGGACTCTCCTTTCTTTGAGATACATTTCCATAGTGTATGCAAAACGATATAAAAAAAGATCCTGTATATGATCACTTCCTCATTTTTTGGTCGTTAAATGTTGTTAACAGCATTAGAAGAAAGCGGCAAGTGGAAAAAAATGTCAACAGCCACTACCATGTTACGATCATTTATAGAGACCCTGTACCTTTTTTAGTCAACATCAGTTCTGGTGAAGTGGGGATTTGTTATCTATGCATAGATTTCATGAATTTGTTGAAATATTATTTCAGTCAACATCTTACCTGGTGAATTTAGGATTTTGCCTTTTCGAATAGATTTCATGAAATTAGTGAATATATTACCTCTTTCCATGGTTCAGGTTGCCAGATGAATTCGTCTCCGCAATGGCTCAGAATGCATTTGGCAGTGTTGGGTGGTTTATTATAAACAGAACAGTAATTCTGATGATGGATTCTGTTCTGGTATAGATCCGGCAACGGTGTGGCGTCTACGAGGCCACCTTTATGTACTTTGTGACAGGTGACGTTTCGTTTTTTCACTCCCGTTCCACAAGAAGCCGAACACTAACAAAACGAAAACAGGATGTGGGGTAACACAATCAAATGAACTTTTAGCAACGAATAATACAACAAAAAACATTGAACACAAAAAGGAGATTATAGAATTCCACAATTACGGCTATAACACAAAATTGCTCTTGATTGACTGTGTTCGATATATCAATGAGGTACTTTGTATGTCATCAATTTTATTTCCACAATGACTTCATTGTGTTATTATTTCAAAAAAATTTCATCGTCCATGGAATGTCTAATTTCAAGCAATGACACCTCTTTCTAATACAGGGTATGTCACGATGAACTTACACTATATCTATATCGGGAGAAATCTATGAAAATATGCATGTTCATATTTTAGAATACGCTCTCTTCATTTAAAATATTTTCAGCAATGCAGGGTTTCCGCTTCAACAAGTAGCAACAACTTTGTCATTTCAAATAGAATACCCTGTATTTCATGGCATTTTTAGATACTGAGAGCTAATTTCATCGATACATCACACTTGGGGTCTAGCAGGAATGATTCCAGAGATATAGGGAGTTCAAAATCGAGATCTTTCAACTTAAGGATTTTTTTGTGTCGAAACTATTGGTCAAAACGGCTCACATGTCCCTTTCTAAACTTTTGATTTACTATATACTGACATTCAATAGGAACAGATACAAGGTGATCACAGGTTTCTGAATCACTGAACCACCCTGTATTGGATCAAAATCGAGATTTTGCAACTTAAGGATTTTTTGTGTCGAAACTATTACTATTGGTCAAAACGGCTCACATGTCCCTATCTAAACTTTTGATTTACTATCTACTGACATTCAATAGGAACAGATACAAAGTGATCAGAGGTTTCTGACTTACTGAATTGTTTCCAATTAAATTTTAGTAAAGTCAAGATGTTTGCAATAAAATGAAAGATAAGCAGTTCAATCAGAATTATTTGAAACAAGGTGAGAGTTAAATTGGTGAAATATATTTCTTCATTTCACTCTTGAATTACGAACTTAATAAAATTTATTCTGATGGAGTTTATATATTATAAATATGTTTCCACAAAAATATAATGATTTTTCCCAAATTGTTTTCATTTTGACAATTTTCAAATGTTCACTTTGTCTGGTATGATGCTCATGGGTATCAAAATCAATATTGGAAGTATGATTCGACTGTTTTTTCTTATTTTTAGTGAAATGGATGAAACTGCATACTTTCATTTTGAACAGTAGATTCCTTGGTTCGTATAGTCTAGATGTTGATTCCAGAAATGGTAGTTCATAATTTTTTTTTGCATCATTCTGAAGAGATTTCAGAGGTTTCAAAACAGATTTTGCTGCAGTAGCCCAGATCGATGTAAGCCGTTTTGACCAATAAAGAATAATTTGGACACAAAATAATCCTGAAGTTGCAAAATCTCGATTTTGAAGACCCTATATCTCTGTAATCATTTCCGCTAGTCCCCAAGGGAGAATCTAGAAATGCAATGAACAAAGTTGTTGCTACTTTCTAGTTGAAGCGGCAACACAGCATTGTCGAATATATTTCGAGCAAAGAGAACGTAATCTCAAATATAAGCATGCACATTTTTATAATTTTTTTGCGACTGATCCTTGATAGAAAGATAGTGAAAGCTCGTCGTGACATACTGTGTATAATGTTTATTGAAGATGTAGATTAAAAATGTCAGATTTGGGCAATGATTGGTAACTCTTTGAAACTGTGGAGAATTATTAATAAATCAGAATGAAACAATACCACAATACTATCAAATTTCCTTCAAAACGAGGGAAAATTTTCAACTCTATGATGTGAACAAACCATGAGGTTTGGATACCTCCTGCATATCATATGTCAAACTTGCAACCAACCAATGCTTTTATAACCTAGAGTGCCTCGAACATCTCATTTTATGCCTTTTGAGGAGTGTGGACACGCTTATTGTCAACACTGACATTTCTGAATTGTCATAATACTCAAATTTGAGATGACAGTTCTGAAATTTGAATATAATTATCTTCTTCGGTAACGAATTGCAAAAATTCTAAGAATTAGGTATGGTTAACATTCTATCTCTCATAAAACATATTTAGATAGATAGATAGATAGATTCTTTATTGCTTTCAAAGACATTACAGTCCTATAGCAAGGATTCGGTTATTTCTGATAAACACTTTAAATGGAAATGTGTACAATGCAAATTGTAATAATTGTCACTATACATATGTGCAAATATAAACAGTTTTGATTAATAACAAAAAAACGAACAGGAAGAAAGAATAGGGAAATGAGGCAAAGTTGATGATATCACGAAGTGCTACTCGTTTCTTGAAAATGCTCTGGTTTTTAGAATATTCCATATATAGTTGGCGATATTTTTGCATTTAAGTGGAGTAAGATTGTCGATGAAGTCAATCAACGAGTGGCTATTCGGGAGATGATCACTGTTTGGTATTCTGAAACTATTGTAAATCGGACAATCGAACAAAATATGCTGTAACGTTTCTGCAGAATTCAAATTACAAATTGAACATATCTCATTGGGATTTATTTTATATGAGCTTCCATTATATGTGAATTTGATGAAATATTTATTACATATTCTTAACTGCGATATTGTGCGAATGATCTGAATGGGCAAATGGAAATGTAGATAGTTAGCCTCAGCTTTTGTGACAGTTAATTGTTTATAAAATAGCAGAAATGTGGATCTCTGCAGGTGGGCGCGATCTTGTCCGTGGAGTTTACTATAATATTTAGATAATAAATGAGTTTTATGGGTTCTCAGAGAGTGAGGGTTCATTTCGATCAGAAACTCTGAGGCGTCGATAAAATCAAAATGTTCCTTCACTTGAAGTGCCCAGTTGTACTTTGGGTTGATATTCGTTAGTGACATTTGCCTCAGAAAACACAATTTCGGAAGGCGACGGATGTCCATCTCAAGAATTTTGATGATCCAATTCAGGGTGAATTTGAAGATATTATATAGAAACTTAACTTTTCCAGTTTCAAGTCTGACATACAAACATATTTGTGTTTCATGTTTAACTGTTTAAACATGGCGAGTGTGTCCACATTCTTCAAAGAGCGTTAAATGTGATGTTCGAGGCACTCTTATATAACCTACTATTTGTGTCATCTACATCATTTAAATTAAAATAAATGAAAACTTACGGCTGACCAATAACTCTCTACCCAGGCATACGAGCAGGCAAACTTCTCACAATTCTTCGTCACTTTAGGTTTTTTCAAATTCCTACAGTACGAATCGACGACCGTTATTTCATTCAGAGCGTCCTCGCATTCAATATGGCGCCTCCTAGTGCCTTTTCCGCAAGAATTGGAACACTTTGATAAAAAAAAAGTAAGCGTTATGTTTTGTTTAGGGGTACCTGCGGGGTGGTGAGTGTAAAATGTGGTGACTCTTATACTTATCATCTTTTTAAGTTCAAGAAAAAGCGGTGATTCAATTCAAATGATGATGGAAATTATATGGCAGAATCATAATAGCTCCACAAAGTTATAATTTTCCATTAATATTCAAGTATGACAGATATGGAACGAAGTAAATGCTTGAAATAATCATCACATCTTACATTCGGCATGGGGTTATAAATCGAGCACATACCACATGAAACATAATATACAGGATCCGGCAATAGGATTGATATATTTTGAAAAGATTGATATGAAGAACTGATATTTTCACAGGAATAACACCGGCTATATTCCGAATTCAGCTGGTCAGTACTGTCAGTAGATCCACTAACTCTGCAGAAAATCTGTGTTCCGAAATATAAAATCAGAAATACTGTGCTGTAATTCGGAGCACGTTTTCATGGTTTTCATCAGTAGTCAGCAGAAGTTGATCAGCTGGTGAAATCTGTCAGTCTGAAGTTTCTCGTTTATCTAGGGACCCTAGTTTATCTGAACTAGATAATTTAGCCTCCTGGTTGACTTGCATTTTGGAAATTTAATATTTATCAACATGGAAGAGCAATCGGTTCTTGTAGCGTTCATAGTTTCTTCAATTGTTGACGATAAAGATTCAAGCTCGAGTGATGAAGAATACTTGGACATGTATGTAATATGGCATTGATGATGATAAATTTAGGAGACATTTCAGTTTTATTTAGATATTCATTCACCCAATGCTGCTTCTTCTTTCGTTACCTCTTCTACTTCATACTCCATATTATTCTCAGCGTTTATTTCAATAACGGATATTTTCTGATATTGAGAATGATATAATCAATAACATAAATAAAATGTCACATTTCTTCCCCCTCTAAAATAAGGACAGTTTACTGAAGCCACACTACCTTTTCATACTCAGCAATTTCAGCAGAATGTTGAGTCGAAATATTTGGAATGAATAGTATATCTGCTCACAAGCATCTGTCACATTCAGTGATTTTTTTGATTTCGGAATAAAAAATCAGCAGATTCAGTACTGTCAGTTGAATTCGGAATATAGCCACAATACCTGTCAAATCAACAGTTTTTTGTGGTGGCAAATTGCCGTTCCAACAACAGGTTTTTGCTGTAGACTCGTTTTACCGGAGCCATTTATGCAAATTTCAAGATATCTACCTAAACTGCACAGGTACATTTTTTAAACGCAAAAGTTCACTCTGAAACGCTATAATCAATTTCAGGAAGAGCAATGATTAGAACTTGTGTTCGAATTAAATTTCAGTTTTAGCAAAAATCTTTTCATATTGTATCTTCCCAATGGCCAATTGAGAATTGTTCAATCCTTTTACCAACTCTGTACAATAAGAACAAATATAGTAGCATAGAGTATTCTTTTCATTCTTGCAAGCGATAAACAAAGTTATTGAGGTACAGTGCTTGAACACTTCATTTTATCCAAAAAGTTGTCACTATACCTGTTTCCAAGGTCCGAGTTTCCATCTGTAACGTTTTCCTGTCTCCGATGAGTCAAAGTAGCCTTTCGGAACCGCGTTGGATATATGAGGACACTCTGTTAGTTTGCATTTTGTCGTTGCTTCCGGTCTGCGGGTTTCGTCACAGCTGCTGTCACTTACCACTCTGCCTACAAACGAAATTCAATAATAATTCTTTGTATGTTCGTTTTTTTTTCCACTCTAGTCATTAGTCACTCAGCGTGTCTACTCTCGAGTTGAACTGCTTACTATGGTTGTGTCATTCTTACGCCATCTTTAGATTGAAATCATCACCTCTTTTTTTGTTTAGGAGTATGTACTGTCACTTTCGACTGTCTCTAGTTTCAGATCAAGCCAAGACAATGAAAATACTATGGGTTGCGTGCAAGAACTGTCAGATGACATTTCTTATTTGCTTACAAATGATTGAAATTGTTTTTCACAATTATTTTGGCATACGAATCGTGTTTTTTGGCTATTCATCAATTCGCGCATGCCATCACATTGTGCTGTTGGTTGTACAATGCACAAAAAATGCAGCGAAAGACGAAGGAATCCGGTTGGTACATTATGATCAAAAAGTAGTCACTCACATATGGTTTTCATTTTGAAATTTGGTAATTTCTCTGATTTCTCATCGGAATTCCTTCTGCAATAGGAGCTAATAGGAAAACTCGTGAAATTACTAAAAGAATGCAAGAAGATTGGGTTCATGCAATCATACGGGAGGACTGGTCTGACATGCTGACGAAATATGATCGTGTGTGTTGTAGACATTTTCAACCTATTAGCAGTATTAGCTTCTATTGCAGAAGTGGCAGAAGGAATTTCAATAAGAAATGACAAAATTTCATAATAAAAACTATGTGCGATTCCTATTCAACTTAAAAATCATATTCCTTCGTCTCTCGCTGCATTTTTTGTGCATTGTACAACATCACAATGAGAAGGTATGCTTGAATTATTAATGAATAGCGCAAAAAACACGATTCGTATGCCAAAATATTGTGAAAAACTATTTCAATCCTGTGATTCCTTTGTAAACAAATAAGAAAGGTGAGGTTGTGTTTCAATGTTTTACCTCCAGGGTAGGTCATCGTGCACACGACCTATTAGTTGCTATTCGCTGCTGTAATTTTTTGATGTTGAAGGTTATAATTGGATGTCATCATGTCTACACCTTGTCAATATATTCATCTATCTTCTATAAACATTTCGCAATAGGCTATAAAACAATTATTCATGTTGTAATTTCACAATTACTGTATGTTCAACTGATTGTGCTATTCCCAATGTAATATTTCAAAATGCATTTTTATCAGTTCAAAGAAAAATAAATGTCAGTTGGCTGTCAAGTCAAAAAGTGATTTCACTATATAACAGTAATTGAGGAAAAGTTGATATTCAAGCGAATGTTGAATATTTTTTCTACAGAAATTGTAAAAGTGGTTTGGAATAAGCTTAAAGTTGAGGAGAATTTTCGAAATTCAAATAGTTATTTATTATACAAGGGAAAAAAGTAGTAGATTTTAGCTCCAGGTTGTGTTGCCGACGCGTAGCCGAGGGAGACAAAGAACCGTGAGCTAAAATTTAATATCATTCCCGTGTATAATAATACACTATTTTTCTCTGTGACAGAAGGAAGGACGAATCAATATTGAGAAGATATTACATTATTCTGAAATCTGTAAATTATCGACGTGAAATTTTAAGTTTTCAACAGTAGGGACACCTGCGTTGTAGGTATCTTTATCATTCTTTTGAAGTAATCAAATATCTGATGTCATTTCTGTCAGTCTAATTCTGTGATTTGATTTCAAAAAATTGCGAATTTAGTGGTTGTTTAGTAATATACGTTACCGCGAAGTCGAATGGAGGATAAAAGGAAGTTTTTTCTCGGAGACGGTATTATTGACTCATTTTTCGGAACTATAGCACAACAAAAGCCATCAACAGTGTATATATATGTGATATATATCCGGGAAAAAAGTAATTCATGAAAAGTGACATTTTTTAACCTGCCAACAGAGATGAAATGCCAAACTTTTTTCCCGTCACAGAAAAAAAAAATATTTACCTGAGTTGTCAATGCATATGACTTGTCGAAGTCTTTCACAGCTGGAATCGCAGCTGGGACTCCAGTCACCTGTCGTCCACTTGGGACAAGGAAAAATGTTACATTTCACCACATTGTTCGGCCTTTGGTTGGTGTCACACATCAGATCGTTTTCATTCCCGATTTCATTCACACATCGGAACAGCTGTTTGCTTCTGCCTCCATCACCACAACTTTGAGAACACTAAAAACCAAAACAAATATCAGTAGGTAATTAGCTTAGACGCTGCAGGGCTGCGATTTTACTAAATATACTGCACGCTAGCACAAACTAGAGTCCCTGTATATACCTTAGACAAGAGTCCGGACACAAAACTGACAGCTGTTGGGGTTTTCAATATTTTGTTTCATTTGGTTTGTCCACCTGACAATGTGACGGAACACCATAGTCGTCCCGCCCGATTTTTTTAATTATTTCGAATTTCTGTCACTGTCAATTTGAAATTCTATGACCGCCAAAATTTAGCATTTTAAATTATTTCAATTTCCTGCTGCGTACATTATTGCGACAATTCATTAGAAAAGGGATTCAAGTTATTATTATTATTCAATAGTTATTATAGTCAAAATAGCCCTATTTCCCACTTCTACCTATGGCTATGAACGGTTTGACAAATAATCTAACCCTCAAAATTGTTTCTGACAATCATTGATACTAGGGGAATTGAAAAGACAGAGCTCGATATATATGTCTTATTCCTTTATTCAATCATCAATGCATTTTTTGAAAACAGAAAAGGACAGAAGTATAGCTGTGTCTGGACTCTTATCTAAGGTATATACAGGGACTCTAGCACAAACCACGCCCACCATAATTCGTCATAACTCCAAACATTACCGATATACTCGGAGTCAGCACATCGCACTAAATATACTGTGCTCCAACGCAAGAATACACTTTTTATGATTTTGACACGAATTCGACTGAAGCTCTCTCGTTGTCAATCTCTTGTACGCAGTAAATTCATATACCCAAATGGTCTACTGGTTAGCGCTGTCGACTTTCAGTCTGAAGGTCCATGGTTCGAATCGCTGTGAACTTGAACTTTTTTTTGCTCCTTTTTTTTTCACCAATTTCTTTTTACTTCATTCTGGTTTTCCTTTTTCATAAAATATTTGAAGTTAAATAGGTTAGTAAGTTTAGGATAAAGTCTCATTTTATTCAATTTTGTTGAAGAACTCAACTTTTGAAATATATTATTAATCAATGTGTTTCTACACTGCATTCGGTTTTCGTTCCTAAAAAATATTGCAATCAGGGATATGTTAGTTCGTTAAGGATAAATAGTCTCTGAGTTTTGCCTAAGTACTTCGAAGATGAGATATTACGGTGGGCGTGGTTTGTGCTAGCGTACAGTATATTTAGTAAAATCGATGCAGGGCTCTAGCTTCGCTCATATAGACTGCTAGTAGTGAAAACAGGATATTTTATGCCGTTTTTCAACTCAAATATTGACTTCCACAGCTTCAACCATAGGCTAGAACGGTTAACGGTATGGCGTACTTTCAGTTCATTCCACCCTGTATTCAATTGTAAAGAAGATCAAGATTGTATTTTATCAGATGGCATGGCAATGATTTTGATATATTAGGTGCGCATTATTGGCAAGATTCTTCCACCGGAATGACAATTCATGTCGTTTTATTGAACGAAATTCTGAAACTGTTTTCAACTTTTCATTCCGAAATGGCGGTATTTTAGATAATCTAACCTCAAAATCTGACTTGAAGTTGCGGTAATGTGAACTCGCATCAGGATATATTCTGGAATTGTTCGCAATTCTACCCAGAATACTTTCTGGACTCATCCTGAAATGACTTTCGAATGTTGATAAATATACATTTGCGGTATTACTTCTCCATAATAATTTTGAATATTTGTTAGAAAATCTGAAAGTATTAACATGAATTTAGTCAATTAGGAGGTCAATTATTCCTGTGGATTCAATTATTGAGGAGTCAATTTCATTGATAGATATATCAATGGATTTTGCCTTCTAACCGATATACTTACTAAGGAGAATAACAAAAAAGCGGGAACAACATCAATTATAAATTATGATTATGTACGGATGAACAGCAAGATTTCGAAATTATCCTGAAAAAGATCAGCTGAATGTCACAAGTTTCAAAAATGAAACACATCGTTTCATCGGTCGTCAATTCTACTGCCACCAGTGGAAAGCCTAAAAAACGCACCTATTGTTTCAATCAATAAATAATCTTTTTCTGACAACTTCCTTCAGAGAATGTAGTATATTGAATCATTAATATTCTAGTACAACCTCCACAAACGATATTCTCAATCAAAGAATGGCCACGTATATCTCCCTAAATATAGCTGACAACAGAATTACTAGCTGCAATATGGTGAACTGCTGCATATTTTGCAAAAAGTGTTCTTCAAAAAGTGGAAAGGACATATCTTCTTAAAGGTAGGAAGATTATATGATTTTTAAACGATTAATAGTAATGTCTTAGCTTTCTCAAAAACCAGTCTGCTAAGATGCAGTGGATTGACTTCTATAGATTATAATGTAAGGTGTTTTTCTCGAATATACCATATCATTCTAAATGATTTTATGTACAATAAAGCTGAAAAAGGTCGACGAGTGCTATCTATCATGTGTATATTATTAGCGACGTTCATTCGGATGAACCTGCCCAGTTGATTTTCTTCTTCTATAAAAAGTGTTTTCATTGACACTGATCGTTTGTATCGCTGTATTCAAATCAAATTGTTCTCTGACATGTTTCCAACGGATTACCTACACTGTGACATGAAATTTGCAATAATCTTTCGCAACTACTACTTGAGTCGCACTTCTTTTATTATTGATCAAAAAAACCCACATACTCGTGTTTTCTGTCGTAAAGTTTGAGTGATTGCAACTATAGAATTTCAAAATTCCCGCCTCATTCAACTGTGAAATGCTGACATGCCCAGTAAAAATCTTGGCCAGTCTGAAAGATGCAGGTATATTAATATTACCCTCTTCTATTATTGTTCGCATATCATAAGAGATTAGCAGTTAATTTGAGCAATAGGCCCTAGGGTAATTATTCATTTGCTGAAAATGTCACTTACTATTTCGACCGATAATGCCATAAGATGAAAGCTCATCTATTTACGAGATCAAACTCGATTTTATGGAGTATGCGTATTTAGGACCTGGCATTATATCTTGCAATTTGTACATTAATCCTCGATTAACTTCACATCACAAATGAAGATAAAAAAATTCGGTGCATAAAAGTTTCAGCCAATGCGATGATTGATGTTTTTCTTATTAATTACTAGAAACGTGAAGTAAAAAAGTGATACTCACAGCTGACCAATCTCCAGGAACCCATTTGTAAGTTTTATAACGTCTGTAAGGTTGTGGTATGATGAAATTGTCGAAGTCATCCCTAGGGTTGTTTCTTCTTTCATAAGATGCCGGCTAAAAAGCACAGAAGTTTAGTGAGATATAGGGGCGGTATGAAATGAAAAACTGTGTGCTAACTTCTATGACCTGTCAGTATTTTCAATATATTTTGGACAATACGGGGGAAATCTAAATAAAGTTATATTAATGTTATGTAATATTTCCACGTATTCGCGAAAAGGATGAGCTAGAACAAAAAATATTGATGGAGACATTTCAAGAATGAGAAATTCCAAATTGCATCCTGTAAAGAAGTATTTATTACTTATCCTTCGTATTATAAATGATGTGAATGATGTATAGGAATTTCTTGTAATTCGAGCGAGAACCCAATATGATTAGACTATCCGTGACTTCCATGCATGTCAGGTCAGAGCTGACGACTACACTGACTCTTACTGGAATACTGAAGGTGCACGTGCAGCGGCAGTCGTATATCAATCAGACATACAGTGTGACCCACGTCTATTGGAAACACCCCTGTATTTTATATAATCGTTGGGTCCTGAAATTTGCTGGAGCGAGCAATATACCAAAAATGCACTCTATGACCAAGTGGGGTCATCTTCAGTGATATACACTGCTCGTCAACAGCCATGGAACCACCCCAATCTCAGGAAAATGATATAAGGAGTCGAAATAGGTAGAAAATCACTTCAGATTCGGAATCAGGACGCCCAATTCACTAACTATTCATATTTTTTCTGGAACATTTTCAGTTCTGAAAAATTGAATTTTGTAGCACTTTTTACGGAAGCACCCCCGTATCTTACGTAATTAACTTTATCTTTAGCCTTCTTTTCCTCCTGCAAATTTCAGAACCCTACCTCAATAATTACGTGAGATACAGGGATGCTTCCCTGAGAAGTGAGACAAAATTTAATTTTTTTGAACTGAAATTTTTTTTGGAGAACTTAGCGAATCGGTCGTCCTGATTCCGAATCCGGGGTGATTTTCAACCTATTTTGACTCCTTACATCATTTTCCGGAAATTGGGGTGGTTCCATGGCTGTTGGTGAGCAGTGTATACCACTGAAGATGACCTCACTTGGTCATAGAGTGCATTTTTGGTATATCTCTCGCTCCAGCAAATTTCAGGATCCTTACCCAACGATTACGTAAGATACAGGGGTGTTTACAATAGAAGTGGGTCACACTGTATACAGGGTGGGCCACCAGTAACGCCTCGGTCTCTAGAAGGCTAACCACTTATCTTCTTGGAATTCTTCCTCTCTAGGAAGTTGCATGTCTACATAGGCTACCATTTAAAATTATTTCGAAACATACAGGGTGTCCCCAAAAACCATAAAACACTGAAGTTAAACTTTTTTCTATCGAACACCCTATATTTCATTTTGAGATTCTTCCTGATGAGCTGATTTCAACGACCCATCATACTTGGGGTCTAGCAGTTATAATTACTGAAATATAGGGTGTGAAAAATCGAGATTTTCCAAGTTCAAGAATTTTTTGTGTCGAAACTATTCATAATTGGTCAAAACGGCTCACATGTCCCTATCTCAACTTTTGATCAACTATCTACTGACATTCAATTGAAACAAATACAGGGTGGTGCAGAATTCAGAATCTTGATCACCCGGTATATGTCCCAATTAAATATCAGTAGTTAGTTAATCAAAAGTTGAGATAGGGACATGTAAGCCGTTTTGACCAATTATGAATAGTTTCGACACAAAAAATTCTTGAACTTGGAAAATCTCTATTTTTCACACCCTATATTTCAGTAATTATAACTGCTAGACCCCAAGTATGATGGGTCGTTGAAATCAGCTCATCAGCAAGAATCTCAAAATGAAATAATATATAGGGTGTTCGATTGAAAAAAGTTTAACTTCAGTGTTTTATGGTTTTTGGGGACATCCTGTATGTATGTAACCTCCGAACCAAATGAAAGCGACAATTTTCAAAATTCACAGTACATCAAATACACTCACGTCACATTCATTTCTGTAGCACACTCTGCTCTCGTTGGGCACGCGCTGACCGCGACAGTAGTTGTTGTCCAACACTTCTTCTGAATCGAACTTTTTGCAAACGAACTGTCTCCTTTCTATTCCTTCTCCGCAAGTGACAGAACAGGGGTGGTACGCATTGATCGAGGCCCATCTACCGCAAGCTTGGTCGTTACAAGCTTCTCTTTCGGCTGGTTTGGTTGTGACGTCGCAAGCGTTGTTGTCGTAGATTCTGCCGTCCAGCACGCAATAATAGGTTAGGTTCTTGTAGCCACCACCACACGGTGCAGAACACTGGAAAATAAACGAGTCATAGACACAAATCATGATTGGGAAGATGAATGATTTCTTGACAAAGTCTGAGGAAAATAGTATAACCATGTTTGTTCGGTATATTACTAAAATTTCGATATATCAAGTTGCATAGGAGTTAAGTTGTCAAACAAAGTAAAAAAGGACATTCCACTTGGCTGTGCAAAAATGAACGCTGTATTTTTCAATTCCAGATGGAATGGTGAATGAAAACAAACAAATGAGTGAGGATAGTTGATCTCGATTTTGATACGTAACCATGTTCCCTGCCTGAAATTAGGATGGATACCAACTGATGAATATCGCAAGTATATATAAAAAATACATTGTTAATTGAACTGATTCGAAATATTAAAACTTCATAAACATCGCAGATGCTGCTGTTGAACTGATGTACACATGATAAATCGCATCAATCTTTGTACATATCTTCCGAACTCACAGTCGGAGCCCATCTCTGATTAGCACATGCCAGTGACAACTCACGTGTGTTTTGTTTCATTCTCAGAATTAATAATTATATAATTCCAAACATGTTTATAACTACAAAAATTGCTTTCAGCTGTAACTAATTTCGCAGCCATCTTATCATGAGTATAACCTTCTTTTTGTGTTTAGTTGTTTGTTCAGTTTTGAGTTAGAATGGGCCACAATGTTTCACCCTTCAATTACCTACACATATTTTGGAACCCCTGTATATCATACTATTATGTAATAAAGAAAGACTCGATGTGATGGCTCATCGTATTTTCACTTTACTATAGTTGAATCACGACAGTCAGAGATCGATTGGTATACTTCCTGAAGAGCTATCATCAGTTAGCTGAATTTCTCAAGGATCAGCGTTAGGTCAGATTCACTTAACTTTTTTGCTTTACACTCTACACCCTTTATCTCTCTACAATAAAAACCATCTTCCACAGGAAGGAAGGAATGCTCGAAGTCATCTCCACAAATTTTAATGATATCATTAAAATTTGTGGAGATGACTTCGAGCATTCCTTCCTTCCTGTGAAATATTTCACTCCACTTTGAGCAATATGGACTTCTACCAAAGATTAAAAACCATCTTGTTACATCATCCACTATAAACTACTAGGTGATTGATTTTATAGAACATATCACATCGATATCTGTCCTATATACCTATCAAAGGCATGGTACCCTTTACCGTGCCTCCAAAAATCAACATGAAAATTGATAGATTGATGAGTCGATTGTAATTGCCTCTCAATAACTGTGAGGCTGTTGCAGATCTATTTCAGTATATCTCCATCTTATGATTTGTCTTCTAGTCTTATACTGATGAAGCCAAAAATAGTCCTAAATGTCGCCTTCCTACTCTATGCAACATAATTTATAACAACATAAGAAAAATGGATTACTAGACTCCCATGCGGAAACACTGCCACGTCATCAGGTACCTTGCATCGATATCGTCAGTAATTTTCAAAATTATGCCACATTTCGATATTTATGTGACTTTGAATCAAAATCTGGAGACGCTTGTTTAAGAATACAGGTGGAAAGTCGAAATATGGATGACGAGTATATTTTCTGATTTAGTTTGAAGTGCAACGCGACTTGATTGATCATTATTCATTGGCTATTTTGTTGTGATTGAACCAAAAAGTCGTTTCTAACCTATCACCAATAATTATACCTGGTTCAGTGTTAGCAACTAGGTAGTTATAAAAATGTCTACAAGTTTTTTGTTTTTAACCTAACATTACTAATGCATAATTTTATTTTACTTACAGATGACGTGTCTGCCAAGGTCCAAACAGGACAATTCTCCGTGTTACATATCTGTTCGGTGATCATCTCACTGTTGTTGCAGTAAGAATCGTCTATAGGTGTATAACTATCATCGACACATTTTGCCGTTCTTCTTTGTGTGCCACCTCCACATGTTTTACTGCACTGTAAGTACAAGGTCGAAATCAACAACGAGAAAGAAATAATGGATAACTCATTATATACTAGGGTTGCGTGGATAGTAAGACATTTATGTAAAACTCATACCTCACCGGTATATCTGAATAAACAAAACACGTTAGTGGTAAGTTTGGTGTGAAAACTGTGTTCAAGACTGAAAATTCAATGATATCAATTCTTACTTGAACCATTGTCGATCTAAATGGAGAAGCTTGTTTGCTAGTTAGTAGGCGAGCGGTATATTTTCTTTTCATTGATCCAAAATTGTCTGCCTGCCATTTGTTTTAATGTCAGTGGCACTGTTTCAGGTTGAGTTTCTCTTTTGAATTTTTTTCCAAACAGTAGTCAATCAGTCAACTACATCAGATATTGGTAAAAGAGATGAATATTTGGTGGTTGGTGGTTGACCGTTGCCTCCCTTTTTTTAATTATCTTTCTCGCAATTGTATCTTTTAATAATAATTATTGCTTCTAGTGTTGCTTGTTCTCTATTCATTAGTTGGGTTGTATTTGTGATTATTGTTTGTTCCCAAGTAATCAAAGAAAAACAAACTCTAAGTCGGTTGACCACAATTTATAAAAACATAAAAAACGATTACACTGGTTTCGGCTCAACAGTCATTATCATACATACGACCTGTTATGGGTCAAGAACAATAAATCAATGAAATTATAGACGATATAACATCCATGATGTGTTGAAGTCAGTCAACCATTTTTGAAGCGGCTGAAGAGCCAGAAAAATCTAGCTCTAATGAAAAAAATAAAATAAAAGAAGGCGTTGATATTTCAGGAATGAGAACATTTGAAGTGTGTGAGCATGATTATATACAGTATGATGCAAATGTATGGAATAAATTCATTATTTCAGAAATGGGCGACATTTGAAGAAATTCCAAAAACACGTGAGTTTTAATTTTTGAAGCCTCATCTCATGACATTCATATGAGAGATGTTACGTCACTGGTGTAGAAGTAATGACGTAATGGACGATTTTTTCAAATACAAGCAGGGGTCATGTGACACCTCGTTTGAAAGGTCTACTGATCGTCTATCCAACAGTCAAAATTTTGCATAAGAATATTGCAATTAAAATGGATTATCATTTGGTTAACTGAATCTTGCAGAGGTCTGCTACTGAGAATTGAACATCGAAGGGTCGTCTAGTTAAAAAAATGCACAATAAAATGAGTTCTGAACTCTAGTTTTTGGATTTTTTTGGGAAGTCGTCTTGTTTTGAAATGAATTTATTCCATACATTTGCATTATACTGTATATGTTGGGGAAAACGGAATTCCATGATATAGTGACATCAAAAATATAAAGAGAAATAAGGGGTCTCTACCTTTCTGCTTGGCTTGCATGTAAAAAACAGGAACGTTGTTTTTATCACAGCACTGAAGAGTCTCAGCCGAGGTTTCCTCAGTTCCTACTCAGCTAATATAGCATTGATAAATTTCTTTATTGATAATGTGCCAACCTCGAGTTTCAACATGAGAGTTTTTTTACAAACTTGACATTCAATGCTTGACATGAAGAATCTTTAGGTTAAGACTGAAAAATGAACAGCTTAGTTCATGTAGATGTCTCTACGGTATATGAAACTGGCCCAATGAGGGCGGTTTTCGCAATTGTTTTTTTCAATGAACACACAACACACAGATGTATACTCTCGCCTAGTAACTAGCTTTTCCATTCAGATCAACAATACTCAAACAAGGTCAAAAAATTGTACCTCCAGTATACCTGAGGAAGGAAGAGAATTGCTGTATTATTGTTGAGTTTACACATGAGACATACTTAGAATTCGATATGAAATTCAAAAATGAAATTAATTTCCTTATCCAACCCACGCAACCTCATTCTACATAATATGAGTAAGACGTGTGAAAGTGAATAAGAATACGAAAACTGCCTAATTCGTTTTTTGACTCCATCGATTATCTGTAAAAGATTAATTGCATATTTCGAACAGTTTACTTGAGAACAGCGATTGTTCTCGAATTGTGCAACAGTTATGGACTGAACTGAAACAAAACACCAATATCTACATACTAGATGTTATTATAATTCATGTACCTATATGGATATTATTGAATATATTGAATGTGAAGTATCAATTTTATTAATCGAATACTCACCTCTGTCCAAGATGAATAATGCCATCTAGTGGAGTTACACACGGTATTGCAGGTCTCCAAAGCTGGTGGTGTTGCCAATATCGTGCAGTGTTTTTCATTGACGATTTCACTGCGGTTCGGTTTCTTTTTATACACCTTCATGCAGTTGTAGTATATTCTTCGAATACTGAAAAGAACGCATCATACAGTGTCATTTTTTGTTGAGTATTTGAAATTTACATTCAAAAAGTAAATGACTTGACTTTCAGACTATAATTGCCCTCTATGATCACTTTTGTGTGCTCCACTATTATGAATTTGTGTCGAATTCATCATTGGTCCTTGTTCATCTTCGCCATTAGGATATTGTTCGTTCAACTATGCCCTAATGACACCTCAACATCAAGTCATTGCTACCCAGACCTTAGCATTTCACTTATTTGGTGACAATCATCACACTCAACGAAATGGCGCACATAATTAAGCTACATGTATTTTTATACTATGCTATAATAACTAACACTAGGTCTCGTGTACATATTACAGAACACCGACCCTGGAGGTAAAACAATGTACGATGTACGATCGCGTTACCTTCTATATGCTCTTGCGTTACCTGTTCAATGTGACTGTGATTTTCATCCAGTGCCTGCCAAATGCAGAATATTCATAAGAATATTCATAGTTTTTATCAGCTCATCCTTGAACTACTTATTATATGATGCTGAGTGTGCGATCTCGAAGTCCCCGGCAGAATGAGAGTCGTAGACTAGACAATGGACATAGAGACTTGAACAACGCGATATTTTATTGTTTCATATATCATTCAATCATATAGTATTATTATTGGTTTAAAGAAAATCAAAGAGTTTACATATTATGTTCAGTCACACGAAGAGTCATAGGATTTAAATAGTTTTTTTCTGTGACGGGAAAAAAGTTTGGCATTTCATCTCTGTTGGCAGGTTATAAAATGTCACTTTTCATAAACTACTTTTTTCCCGGATATATATCACATATATATACACTGTTGATTGCTTTGTTGTGCTATAGTTCCGAAAAATGAGTCAATAATACCGTTTCCGAGAAAAAACTGCGAGTCCTTTTATCTTCCATTCGACTTTGCGGTTACGTATATTACTAAACAACCACTAAATTCGCAATTTTTCAAAATCGAATCACAGAATTAGACTGACAGAAGTGACATCAGATATTCGATTACTTCAAAAAAATGATGAAGTGGCCTACAACGTAGGTGTCCCCATACTGTTAAAAACTTAAAATTTCACGTCGCTAATTTTTAGATTTCAAAATAATGTAATATCTTCTCATTGATTCGTCCTTCCTTCTGTCACAGAAAGAAATAGTGTATTATACACGGGAAAAATATTAGATTTTAGCTCACGGTTTTTTGTCTCCTTCCGCTACGCGTCGGGAGACAACACTCAAACAAAAATCTACTACTTTTTTCCCTTGTATAATAAATAACTATTTCACAATTATTTTGGCGAACGAATCGTGTTTCTTGGGATATTCATTTATTCAACCTTGTCATCACATTGTGCTGTTGTATATTTCACCAAAAATGCAGTGAGAGCCGAAGGAATGAAGATTTTTCAGATAAATTGTTATCTTAAAAGTACTGAACCTAGTCACTCGCATTTATAATTTGTTCTGCAATAGGAGCTAATAAAGACTTGTGAAGTTTCTAAATGAACGCAAGAATAAGCTTGGATCAGTGGATTCGTGAAATCAAACAGGAGGACATTGTTTTGAAGCACTGACGAAATATGATCGTGGTATTTCAGGAATTCTAAAGAGAAATGACTATGGTCGTGTGTGTTGTAGACATTTTCACTCTATCAGCTGAATTAGCTTATATTGCAGTAGGAATTCTGAAGAGAAGTGACACAATTTTAAAATGAAAACTATGTGAGTGTCTACAGTACCTTCAGATCACAATTCATCTAAAAAATCTGTATATCTGTATTCCTTCGTCTCTCGCTGCATTGTTTGTGCAATCTACTACACGATCTGTATGCCAAAATAATTGTGGAAAACTATACACAAATAAGAAAAGTGAGGTTGTTTCACCTCCATGGTCTGTCATCTGCCGAATGTGCACGTGACCTATATTCATGTTATATCAATAAATAAAAACAGTAAGGTAATTAAAGTTCTTACCCTTTGCCGCATTGAGGTGTACACGCGCTTTTAGAAGCAATATTCCACGTCAGTTCACAGTGGGCGTTGCATTCCTGTTTTTGCGTGACGCTGTCCTCCATGTTGTCACAGTAGCCCTTGTTGACTTCCTTGCCGTTGATCAGTTCCACGCAAACCGGTTTTCTGTATTGCTTGCCCTCGCAAATCGAATTGCATTTCGACCACTCTTTCTGATACAACCTCCATCCATAACTGTAATTTGTTTCATGTTTCAACTCATGCTATTCTATGAAATGATCTTATTTTTTAGTGGTTGATTCACGATAGAATGTGCTGCTAGATTTATTTGCCTGACAGTTCAGTAGTCTATTTACAGGGCTTAGAGTTTCATGAACTTTTCAAAATTGTAGAGTACATTTTATCGTATATCTGCGTAAGACGTCCATGACAGAAAAAGGTGAACGTCATTTAGTGACTAAACTCCATAAAAAATGGAGAAGATATGATATATTGCCTGTATGGTTATTACTAAGGTTCTTATAAACCCAGAATGTATTTCAGATTGTAGTAATTTTCAAGGATTTTTGAGGAAAATATGGTGCATTTCAGTTAAGAATAAAGCATTCAGTGAGATTTCTCCTCGGGAAATGGTCAATTGACTGGTTGGTTGTCTGATAACAGTCTAAAATAGAATCGATTATTGAGGTTATTGACTATCAAGTGTTTTATTCGTTCTTTAACCTCATTCTCTACCAATAATTCTTGTGTTATTTATTCACAAACTGATGATTTACTTATTTTTGAATTCTGCACAATACACTTTCAACGTTAGCTACATGAATATATAATCAATGCCATCTACTTTATCCTTGTCTGGAATATATTATCGAGCTATGAAAATATTGGCGCAAATTTCAACGTGTAGATAGAAATGTCACATTTAAAAACAGAGTTGATTCTCCCTCTTGTGTTTGGTGAACTTGACTTTTTCCTTTCTTCTGTCATGGTCGTACATTTTGATATGATGCACATGATATTACTGAGCTGGTTCCACATTGAGACATGTTTGTTAAATTACGGAAATTAACATTCTTCACCTACCTGTTTTTCAGTACTTACATACATACAATTTATTTTTAGGAAGACAGATATAGAATATAGAAAATGACCCCATACCTGAGAATTTTGAAGCATACAAGCATATTTTTCGAACACTTTTTACACGATGACAAATTTTGACCATGTACCATACATGAAGAGCCAATTACCATACGATTCGAGGATATTAATACATTCAAAGCGTTGTTATACTCATTGGTATAAGTTCTTACCGATAATTACTGAAATGAAATCTGGGAAACCTGGATGAGGGGATCAAAAATTACAATTATTCTACTGAAACTAATGATCAAATGAGAAAAGTCGCATGAAACTGCGTATTTCGATTTTTACTAATTTGCTATATGCTCTAGAGTCTATAGACTCAATGCATTTGTTTATTCTGTTCGAATTTTCTACTTGGAATAGTCCGGGAATTGATCCCTTTCAACTAAACAACTTTGAACTCGAGATATATGGGTGTCTTTTTTTATCACTTGGAGCGCACGAAAGAAAATTCTATAAAGTTGAACGGGCTACCCTGTACCTTGGAAACAAAGGGTTGATATTCGACACCTTTGTAGCCACCTCACAATGTGAAATTGAATTGCTTCGCTTTTGAAAATGTTGTTAATTGACAGAGAAATAATATTTATTTCCTCTTCTTATTTTGTCTTCAGGGTTCTATCCTAAATAATGCAAGTTCCAGGATGGTAACACAAAAATGAGAGTAAATGAGGAAGAAGACCATGTGTTTAACCTATCTGATTTTGAGGTTTCTCTCCATGTCACAGTTTAATCCTCTAAGAATCAACTATGTCTTTACACTAAAAATTGTGTATCCACATCGAATCGACTCGTGGCATCTTAATTTTGGTTGCGCAGAAGACTAGAACGTCGTCAATGTCATTAGTTGTCAAATCAGTCAGTGAAGTGAATAGCAAAAAATTAGAAGGATATGCAGTAATGAATTTGCGCCTTTGAAGTGCCGACCTGATTGTAGGATAGATATTTGTTATTTTTATTTCATTATCTAAATAATCCGAGACTTACAGGAATTTTCATTATTTTCCCGGACAACTACTATCTAGACCGCTATATGTCGTATCCCATCAACATGAGAATCTCGAGTAAAATGCTCGCCTGAAAACGCTTCTGCTCAAAGTGCAGGAACTGCAGGAACACCCAAACTATCGTTCATGACATCCAGTCATGTTTCTTGGCATTCGGAAACATAATTAAGAGTGAGTAGTTTTTAATACGATGATTTATGTTCTCCAGTTCGATCTAGTGAGTGGTATAGCGCCTTTCTGATGGCATTCTCGGTGTAGATAGTAGTCTATGTCAGTGATTATTTCACTTAACCTTCAAGACAAAAAGAAGATAGTTTTTCTTTTTCAGAGCTACGAGAGAGCTTTCGGAATGAATCTGCGTTTGTCTACAGTTCTGTTGGACTACTGAGCAAATTCATTTAGTTTTTATCCAAATACGCATTTCATTGGCGACTGTCATTCTTTGAAAAAAACACACATACCTAGGCGCCTCCTTGATATCAATGACGTATCTGTACCGAATGTTTGGCGCAGACAATTTCCCCACCGATAGAACGCTGATGACCAAATCTCTAGGCAGTTTCCTGTTCTTCGGACTGGTTATCCATTCGACGGTGGCGCTTGCACCGCTGTACTTGATGTCGACGTTGCCGAATTTCACGTCGAGGCCGTCCGTGTTGGCCATATAGTTGCCGTTGAGTAGAGGATCGCCGGTTTCCCCATCAATCAGAACTGCGAAGAAAACGACGGATATGTGTTTGTTATTCGACATTCTACATTGTGTGCACCTCAAGGACTCACAATCCCTGTGGAACCTTTGTTCCTTCATCAATCTTGATGATCTTTTTACCTAGTTAGTAGCATATACGTATTAATTAACAATATGGATAACAACGGGTGCCAGATTGAGGCTAAAAATATGAAACAAATGATTATCCATAAGGATTTGGTGGCAAAGTAATCACCACAGACATGCGCCATCATAAACAATAGCGTTTAGCAGCTTTTGAATCGAAGGAGTATGTGTTTTATCGTTCCATAAGGTCATGACATTCTGTTGTTCTTTTTACGTAAGTCACAGAGACAAAATAGCAGATGTTTGATGGTTATTATGAATTTTCACATTATATTCTAAATCTAAATTACATCCCTTTTAATGATAACCAACCTGATAACCATACTCAATGATGGCTAGTATTAACAAAGAAATAATCACTCTTATTGCAGCATTTTCAATGGAATCGTCTTGCAAAGCAATAAAATGAACATAGATATTTTATAGTATACTGAAACAGAAAACTGGAAAAGGATATCATTTGGTATTTTAGATCTTCGTGAATAAATATCAATAAATGGCATTTCAAAGATGAATAGGTTAGATGTCATAATGATGTGTCTATAATTTGAACTTGAGCATTTGAGCATGCGAAGTATATCACCTTATGCTTATGGATAGTAATTTGTCTTCAAGAAACGGCTTCCTTTTGAGCTATGGAAACAGATAGAGATTATCCAAATTGTTCATCAATATGTATATGGTTAGTAGACGAGACTTGAGAGCTATAATATTATCTGTTCGTTGGCCCAAAAAGATTTTAAAACGTCACCTCCGACAAATTACAATGTTGATTTGATTGTCTAATTTCAAGTTAGTTGTTCGTTTGTTGTTTGTTTGAATTTGGTGTTCCATTTTGCATTTCTACAAGTGGTCGAGGTATGTGAATTCTTCAACACTACTTCTTTCTCAACAATGAGGCAATAACTCCCAACAACACCAAGTGGTAATTTCTTCTTAAGCCATAGTATTATTAATTTTATAATAATGAATTGATATTCTCGGAATAAACATAATCTCATTGACACTATAAAAGTGAATTAGCAGTTCTTGTATTTTTATTCTCAACATGCATGAAGAAGAACCTCTTAAATTTTTCGATTCATTGATGTTATTTGAATTTGAGTAGGAACTGAAAACTCATCAGTGCTGTAATTAAACATAACTGTTCCCACTTTATCGAAATGATAACATACAAGCTAAGAATAAAAAGGTAGGAACTACTAATTTACTTTCACGTTGTCAAAAAATAATTACTATATTTATTCCGGAATATCAATTGTGTGTGGCTCAAGAAGAAACTCTTACTCTCGCTCAAATTCACGTCATCGATGAGAAAGAAGTGATGAAGAATTCACATATCATTAGAACACCAAAATCAAACCAACTACCCACTTGATATTTGGAATTGAAATCACAATTTGTATTTGTCTGAGAAGACTCTTTTTCGGTCTTGCCTACTCGATCACTAACTCAGGCTTGTTTGTATAGTAACCTTACTCGACAGCAGGGCCATCAGAGTCTACTAAGACAACGCATGCGCATTACCAAAGGCGAAAATTTGGTTATGTTGATATGTTATCTTGGAAGGAAAATTACAATCTTCCAAACAATAACAACATTAACCTTCAACAATTCGTTTTGATGATTATGAATGATAGATGGAGGAGAAGGTAGTATAATTGATGTTATCTTCTGGTGAAATAAATGTATTATCTCCGAACGAGACAAGTTTATATTCAGTGTTTTCAGATAAACCCGAATGACTCAGCAAAAGATTTAGACCCACGGAACGTCAAAAAAAAAACAATATGTTCATGAACTTTATTACCTGGGTAGGTGATCTGAGTGATCCGTCACGTGGTCTATTTTGATTTTTTATGGGGTTGGTGAGCTGGGGTAAGTTTCCGGAAATGCCTTTATATCATACCTCTCGCCTACTAACTAGGTTTCCATTTAGAACGACAATGAGTGAACAGAACCATCTAGTTGAATTACCTTATAGTAGATGGCGCTGTTCCTATCCAACGAAACTTTGGACTACTCACCAAGATAATTCTCGTCGACGTAAGGATGGGAATCCTGGGTGATGTTGAGATTGGAGCTGCCCTTCGGTATCCTAACCACCCGATTGTAGCCCGATGTGTCTGCCGGCTTGTTGTAGTTGCCGCTTATCTCCTGACAGCGACTGTTGTCTCCCCCGCAGATACCGCAATCGTCTGGAAAACAGAAGCTGTCAGTGTCACCACCAGACACAAAAACCATAATAATCGTGATATGAATACAGAATGTGGCATCTGAAACGTAATACCTGGCTTAACTCTTGAGAGAAATATCTACACGTGACTGCTGAGTGTGTTCGTTTGTGTTGCTAGAGCAATTCAAGCTAAAATAGTTCAGTATCTACAGTGAAATGGGTTGTGTGCAAGAACTGTCAGATCACCGACCCTGGAGGAACAACATTGAAACACAACCTCACTTTTCTTATTTGTTTTCAAGTGATTGAAATAGTTTTTCACTATTACTTTGGCATAGGAATCGTATTTTTTGGCTATTCTTTAATTCGCTCATGCCATCACATTGTGCTGTTGTACAATGCACAAGAACTGCAGCAGAAGACGAAGGAATTCTGTTGGAACATTATGATTCAAAAGTAAGTACCGAATGGTCACTCACATATAGTTTTCATTTTTGAAATTTGGTAATTTCTCTGATTCCTCATCGGAATTCCTTCTGTAATAGGAGCTAATGGAAATACATATGAAATTTCTAAAAAAATGCAAGAAGATTGGATTAATGAATGAGGAAAGTAAGATATCAAACGGGAGGACTGGTCTGACATGCTGACGATATATGATCGTGTGTGTTGTAGACATTTTCAATCTATTAGCAGTATTATAGCTTGTATTGCAGAAGTGGCAGAAGGAATTTTAATAAGGAATAACAACATTTCATATTCGTAACTATGTGAGATAACTATTTACCAAAAAAATCATATTCCTTCGTCTCTCGCTGCATTTTTTGTGCATTGTACAACAGCACAATGCGAAGGCATGCTTGAATTAATGAGTAGCGCCAAAAAAACGATTCGTTTGCCATAATATTGTGGAAAACTATTTCAATCCTTTTATTCTTCTGTAACCAAATGAAAAAGTGAGGTGGTGTTTCAATAATTCACAGAAGAGTGAGGTTGTGTTCCAATATTTTATCTTTAGGGTCGGTCATCGTGCACGCGACCTATTACTTGGCTGAAATTCGGAACAAATTTTATTGATTTCGAAATGGTCAATCAGCAGTTTCAGTACTGACAATTGATTTCGAACCATAGCCAAAATCTGCTTGGACTAAAATTTTCGAACAGCTAGGACAAAACGATTCGAAAGTGGTTTGAATAACCAAAAATCAGGGGAAAGTGCTTTATTAGTTGAATTGTTCGTTCTTCTATGTATTCACGACAGTCAATTGTAATGATCTAAATGAAAAATATCAAAAGAATCTGTACGTTTGTAACAGAGCACTTTCCTTACATGAAGATGTCCTGAACCTGATTCAGGAAGCCTGTGAGCCGGGTCTTCTTTAATTTGTCAGATTGCTTTGAACATTTTTAAAGACATAAATGAACTGACCAATCCTTCTCTTGCAGAACAACTATTTTAAATTCGGTTGATTGCTACCTTAACAGATGACAGTTCCTAATGAGATCCTGTGATTTATCAACAATTTCCCCCAGAGTTACATAATGGTGTTGCGTTTCAAATGATACAACCAGTATACATTCATCCAGCCAATGAGGTTATGACAACAGATGGAAATTTCTCTTTGGTGCTGCATATCTATGACCTAGCATAGGGAAGGAAGCGCTTGTCACGTGATTAAAAGTGGCATCATGCCCACCAAAATATTAGGTAAGTATTACTCATTTGGTTATGTGGACATTTTCGAGTGTTTTGGTGTTTTTTCCAGCTGTGCCATAAAAGAAGCACAGACCCCACAACCGGAAACTTTCATTGTAAGGTAGAAAATTTCCGGAAAATACTTGAATCATGTATGTTGCGAAAACGTATTGAGAGAAACGATCATAATAGCTCGTCTTCTCCTATACTAAGTCAATTATTTCAACACTGTATATTTTATTACATCTAAGAGGTTGAATACTCAATCTAACAAAAATAAAATGGTTGCATTCTTCATAGAGATGAGGTGACACTTCTACTACGTTTCGATTGGTGTTGGTGCTGATGAAATGTATGTGCGATGTTGTTAGACTTGGTTAGATCTTGTGGGATTATTATCGAAAAATAGAATAACACATGCCTAAAATACCATTCCATGAGTACGGTCAATGTTGTTATGATGGGGTAGTAGTGGTATGGACACCAGTATCGTAACTGCCTGGTTATACTGCCATGCTGAACAAAAATTGTACATCTGACGATTAATTAGTATTAGTATACATGTGAATGAGTGTAATCTTCTGGCTCTACTCTACTGAAATGGTTCATCTTCATCATCATTAATAGGTTAATTGCAGATCTTTTAGCTTGGCACGACAATATACCGACCAACCAGACGTCAAGAAGTGTTTAGAACCCATTACAGGCGAGTGGGAACCAGAATAAAATAACTGGAAAACCTGAATGAACGAACAATATTATTTTGATTTTCTCAATATTTTTGGAAGTTTTGGATAGTGAAGACGCGTTTTGCCTACTCCATTTCATTAGCTGCATGCATTATTGTGATAAATCTGAATATTCATACTGATAACGATACAACTCAAAAAATCGTTGCGACTACTCTATATTTCATTTACTGATGTCCCAGCAATAACGTAAAAACTCAAAAAATTTCAAATTGTGTACGAACAAAAATAAGGTGACTATGTATGTACAATACAATATATTTTCACCATGACTATGTATATGACTTTTCATATTATAAAAGTTCCCTTCTTGCTCTGATCTACCACCTACTTCTACTCTAGCGCAATAGCAGGACCAGCGTTGTCACGCAGCAGCTATTGGATCTATAGATGTCACAATGCTCTAGCAGTGTAGAGCTCGAAATTCGCTATTCATCGGTGGTTCTTACTAAAAAATGAATCTTTATTGAGTTGTCAAACTGTTGTTCCCAGAGTCCCTTTCCCTAATAAAGAGTTCACTGGTTCTAAATGATTCCTATGGTCCCTACTCGCCTGTATGTGTTCCGAAACCCTTCCCACGTCACGATACAGATCACTGACCCATAATCAACAATCAACAAATGGAAGGATACTCGCACATACCACGTGATCGGTTTGGAACAGTTGGTTTCGAGTATGCGCAGTGCTAATATCGAACTGGGTAGGTCTTGGACAGTTTGAAACACAAATACACACAGACACGGTATGTCATTGCGCAGGTCGTTTTTTATCTTTATCACCCTTCTGACATCACGCGGGCAGTAAGATTTGAATAAGTATCATTAATTTGAAACGAAAAATAATGAAAGTTTGTCAAATGGCCAGCCATTCTGCAACCCTGTTATCTGTTATAATGATTGAGATGTCGATAGATAGATATAAATATTGTTAGACTTGATAATTTCATAATGATTAATTCTGAAGAATGTGAAAATGCGAGATCAGATGTATTACCAGAATTATCCATGAAAACATTTGCTTGTTGACATATTAAATAGATAATTTTGTTGTACTGAGTGCTGCATTTTCAATCAATATTTGGATCCAAAGGAAATATTGAGATCATGTTTGATAGAAATACATACTATTATATTTTTTATGGAACTTTTTACATCACTGTCGAATAGTTTTTGCAGGTGGATTTGGCACAATTGGGCTTGTTTGAAATAACTTAGAAACAATTAAAATAAGATATTTCACGATACTGTGTGTAGGTTAATCAAGGAGGTGGTATTCATTATTCCAAATTTTTTGGGATTTTCTCTCCTCGTTTCTATAAAATAAAAATATGAATATTATTTCAATATACGTGTAGTAAGGACAAATCAGATGATTTGCCCCAAAATGTCACTGCGTTTAAATAATTTTCCTATCAGAGAGCCTAAAAGAGAAATTCACTAGCTTGTCAGTGTCAATTTGATATTTCTCCTATATACCTTTATTTCTCTTCTCCAAACTTTTTTCAATACATAACTTTCATATTCATAACTTTCTCAAGACTTCGTTAGCAATAACTCATCTGTATCGCATCTGTAGCTCTGGAAGTTTTTCATCGCAATTCCACTGAATCGAAAATGACAGAATGATACTTACTGATTTGTGTTTTGATTGACATGACATTTATTTCCCACATAAGATCAAGTAAAGGCTGTAGGGGGATTTATATAACAATCAATTATTATTTTTCAATCTCTTCATTTTCACAATAAATAGTGCAATTTGATGGATGATTTTGTACAAACTTACTAAATACTGCAACAAGAAACCTATAATGTTCATATTGTATCACCCACCACTAATATTTTGTGAGAATATTATATAAATGTTTCTCCCGCACTAGTGTGGGAAAACTTTTCCCGCACTACTGCGCGAAAATGACACTTCCCAAACTGAATCACGTGCGGGTATAGGGTGAATCATGCACGCTTGTAGAAAAAAAATCATTTCGCACATTATTTTCCTTCCGTTCGTTGATTTTAGGTCAGTGATACCGACGCGCCCACACCTTACCTAACACCACCTGGGAATCGAGCACGTTGTCGCAGCCGCCCGGCTTGCAAACGCCGCTAACGCAAATGCCGTACCCCGAAGGGCCGCACTTGGTGCCGTCCGACACTTTGTCCTTGAGCCGGTAGCTCGGCTTCGTCCTGTTCGGCAGGCAGTACAACCTGCAATGGTCTTCGGATCGGTCTGAAAAGGAAGTAACCACAGACGTTTAAACACGAGAGACCTATAAGCATTTACCGCCATCTAGTAGCATAGTTCTAAAGTAGGTTACGCCATACTCAGTAGGTCGCTGTAGTCTACGTCTATACGTTACGAAGTGGTACTACAAGTAAAACACTCCGCTGACAGATAGCACTACCTGACTACTTGACTTGAGTCCTATTCAATGAGCTAGATTTCATAACTAAGATGAACAGTGTTGCCCCAATTGTCAGCAGTAGCGAAACAGTACGTTTCTGCCCGATCATGTATCATTCGATCCTCCTTTTCCATCTCTTTTTCTTCATTTTACACAATATTTTGAATACTTCATGGAAATATGCATTTTTCTGCAACCGACACAAAAGTCGTCCATTTTGATACCAAAATCAGCTCTTAAATTGACGTTTCTATTACTGACACAAAAATAGGTAGGTTGCTAGGCTCCTAGGAGCTAAAGTTGAACTTTAGCTCCTAGGAACTAAAAAGGAAATACTGGACGTCATCAAGAATGAACATCATTGTAACGGTTGGTTATTTGAGTTGAGACGCATACCTGATTTGTTTCCGATTTCAGCAGATTTGGAATTTCATACCCATGCTGGAGATATAAATACACCTTATTATAGTTTAGTATTGGAATTATAAACATCTCAGCTAAGTATTTTTGTTTGATCAGGGAAGCCTTCAAGATTCAAATACTTGCTTGATTTGTATTTCATTCGTTATTCTCGGGATGGATAACTTGTTTTTGAATAATCACGGCAAGCAATAGTTTTTTGTCTCAAACAACGATATTGTTTAGCTTCATTTGATTATTAAGCGAAAAACATTGTATTATAGAGAGGAGTAAATAATCGCCATTATTATTGTTGATATGCTCTAACCTAACATTTTCCACGTCTTGTTCCTATAGCTGGCACTGGAACGGTATTTGCTATTAGAGCACCTGGTCCATAAACAAATATGTCACTCTGTGATTGTACTTATATTGAAACTACCATTCGAACATCCTTGAAAATTGAATGAACCTGCTGTTGATGCAGGTAGAATGTTCTCACTACACGGATTATTTGTCAATATTTGTTGCATTGCATACATATGGCACGGCATTGGTGGTTACTTCACATGTTTATTTGAGTTAATTGTTTCGGTTGCAGAAAAAATAGCATGTTTCATTCGGATCAAAAGTGACTTTGTTCGACTCGCAAATTTTGCTTTCGCTCGGCTTCGCTAAACGCTCCGCCTCGCAAATGCAAAATTCGCTTGTCAAACAAAGTGTCACTTTTGATCCTAATAAAACAATCTACTATTGATTGAATTATTAACACGTAACAATAATCAAACTGTATTATAAATCATATTATAAACCTTCGAGCGTTTTATCAATGAAACATGTTGTCTCTCGTGTTTAAATGTCTTTGGAAGAAACGGTGGGTTTGAGGGCTAGCAATGGAAACAAATTTATTCCAAAGCCCCAAACGGCTTTGCTGTTACGCCCAAGTCTAAAAGGGTTATGTCATTCGGTTGAATCCAGGTTAAGGGAACATAGTCAACCTAGTAGTCAACCTGATGGTTATAGTTTTCCCTATGTCGAAAATATGATTCAACATTCAGAAGAAAGAAGATATACAAGGTATGTTTAGGAAGTGAATTCAAAAATATAACTATACATTTGATTAACCCCAATTTATTTCAACCCAAGTATCCGAGGACCACTCGTAAGAGGAAGAGGGACACGAGACCAACATGAGGCAACAGCAACCACAGATGGAATGAAGAAGGAGAAATTCATTTCAAGTTCTAGCTACAATTCAACTGACAGAGTTGCGATAGAGACCGCTGGACACTGTGTCACTATTGTCAGGACCAAGGAAACACTTCGACCATCTTTCAAGCTGACTTACTAGCTAGAGACATTTAAGCTCGACAGTTTCGACAAATCATGAATGATCTAGAACATTGTGAAGTTTACAAATATTTCGATGTTACTGACCTAAATCATATTCTGGGTACCACTGGACACCGTAGGGGAGATTTGGAAAATCCTTGTTATTTCCGTTGAATTCCTCACACTGCTTCGCCCTGCAACATTTTGTTGTTGTTGTAATTTCCGCACATTATACTTGATTATTACTACTAAAACCTCGATTGAAACATAATATAAAGAAATTACAGATATAAATGAATTTCAATTTGATGTTTCGCCAATCTGTGGTATGAACTTAGTCAACCTATGTTTTGCGAACCAATATTATCTTGCGAGTTGCATGATATTTGTTTCATGGGAAATCTCTTATAACAATTATTCACATAAGTTCTAGATGTAGAGGAATAAGTTAACTTGAAGTTATTTGAAAAAATTGGGTGTCATACTAGTTCATTCCAGAATTACCTGTATTCTAATGCTCCAGCATCACAATCTTCCGTATTACACGACTCGTATCTGAGATTCTGTCCGATGCAGTAAGAGCCCCCGTTCATAGGTTTTGGACTGTCACAGTACCTTTGAGACACCTTTATACCCCCTCCACATGTTCGACTACACGACCCGTATCTGACAAGAAAAATATAAAATGAAATTGAAAGAAATTATGTAGATTCAGTGTCAAATACGAAGTATAGTCTTGTTTAGAAATAATCTTGGATATACAGGGTCTTTCAACAAAAACTTGACAGCCGCTGAAATTGGGAAACTTCCATTTTATTTAGATTAGGTACCGGTTTATCATGGGAAGTTTTTTATGTTCTGGTTCCCATGAAAAGGGATATCCTGTAATGTTCAGAGAACATCGTGGGAAATAAGGTAGGAATTGGTGTTCTTCTTAAATTTCTGGAGGTTATATGCCTCGGGGAGCCCCTCCCTTGGTGTTCCAGAGCACTTTGAGCAATTGATCTCACGTGATCCAGGTCTCCAAAGTGACCACGAAGGGGTGCGAAGCCTCAACTCGACGGGTTAATCTCGTGGGGACTGCCAAGGAAGAAACAATCGTTGATATTTCAGAAGAGCATCGTCCATGAAAATATCTGAAAAATAGAGCCAGATCGCCAACTTTTCTACGGTGTTCCACAGAAGTGAGTGAGTTTGTGAGCGAGGCATCACCCACGAGACGAATTGCCCTTTTTTGGACAGAGACAGAATCCAACAGTTTCAGGGTATGTTTGGGTGCTGCCCTTCAAATATGGAAACAGTATTCCAGGACAGGTCGGATCTGTGCCTTATAGATCATAAACAGCTGACTGAAAGTGAAATAGCTCCTGGCCCGAAACAGAAAACCAAGTTTTTGGGATGCCCTTTTAGCAATTGATCTCACGTGATTTTCCCAAGAAAGTTTTTGTAGATAGTAATACCAAGCATTGAAATGGATGTCTTCAAAGGTATGGTTACTCCTGACAAGCTTATGTTGGACTTAGGTTGACATTTTGTGAGATATTTTTCAGTTATTTGGGAAAATTTGATACTTTTCAATCTCATGTGGTTAATGACAACATTTTGATGAATTTTGAAAAACTTACCCGTGCCATGGTCCCCAACCACCATCTACTGGAATATAGTCCTGCTCTAGTCTGCATTCACCATTGAAACACACTCTGAAAAACATGGAGGTAAGGATCAGCACAAGAAATCATTATGTCCGAAATTATTCAGGATGAAAATTGTTCCATATCAGCAGAATGACAGGCCTGATCATTTTCTACATAAATCTAGAGAAGGTCTACAACAGCCCTGAGATAAGTACTCTCTGTATGTTTTACTCCCCAAAGGCTAAACTTCATTACTTTATCTCGTGAGGTGACCTTCAAAGAGTGCGTCGTCACGTCTGGCTCGAGTCTCCCTATACCTACTCTCGCCCAAATTGTTCGCATTCAGTTATTTAGTTATGGAAAATGCAAAATGCAAAGTTATCTGATGATCACTCTAGGAGGTATGAAATACTACTAGTCGAATTTTACCTGTCATTTCCACATTTTGTTCCATCAGCCCAAGGAGAGAAAGTCGAGGTACATGGGAATTCTGTATTGTTTGTGGTGCAGTACAAATGCTCGCATGGTATCTGAAAAAGGATGATTATCGAAAAATTATTGTCATACAGAGTGTGGTACGACAGGTGACAATCATATACTGGGAGTTCAAATGAAATTGTGATCAGCCAAAATTTGGAGGGGCAATATCAGATAATATTCGTTTCATTTTGCAGATTTATTTGACAGTATTTTGAAGTTGGATGTGTCGATATTGTAAGAAGAATTATTGTTGAGATGACTTACAGAAAAGAACTACTTTCCTGTCTGATACCACAGAATAATGATTTATATCTGCTGAGTTACTTCTTCATATATTAGCTTGGTTCTAATATTCGACATATAATTCAATATTCTGCGGTATTAGTCAGGAAAGAAGTTGTTCTCTTTAGATATTTCAACAATAATTCTTTTCATTGTCAAAAAAAATATGTATTTTGAAGCTATTTGAAAAATTTTTAGGCAGGGTGTTAATCCGCAGGGTAGTAGTGGTAAGGTAGGACCAATGCGATCGCGACATACACTGTATGATGCTGCCATCTATGGTCAACACGTGTAGATCCCTACGCTGCAAAGTGGTACTACAAGTTAACCACTCTGATGACAGATGGCACTACTTGACTACTCGAGAGGAATGATCCACAAGTCCCATTCAAAGAACTAGATCTCATAACTAAGAGATCTAAGATGAACAGATTTCCACTATAGACTATATATGGCAGAGTCATTCAGTGTATGTCGCGATCTTCATGATCCTACCCCAGAACTATGCCACAAGAGTGTTGTTTCAGTTGTCAGCAGACCGAGAGCGGCTGATGAGGCTTGTTTGGCCGAAACAGTATCGTCTCGATCCTGCCCTTGATTATATATACTATCCTGCTGACTATTGGGACAACTCTGTTCATCCTAGATGTCTTAGTTATGAGATCTAGTTCACGTTGTTAATCTTTCAAAGGCTTTGGTGAACAATTTTGAACAGGGTGTTCACGTTCACAGGGGTATGATGTTCACAAAAAATTTGCCTAGGTACAAATTATTTAGATAATGAATGATGCTGAAATTGTACTCACACCTGTCAAGCAAACTTTGCATCCAGGACCGAACTCGAGTTCACATTGGGCGTCCAAATCGAATTTGTCTCCTGGCAGCAGTTCCGTGTAAGTGTTAATGATGTAGTTATTGATGGGTGGTCTTTTTACGCAAGTAGCTCTGTCCGAACTGGAAAAAATTCGGAATTCAGTGCACATTGTCTAAGAATTGGTTGCATGCAAGATCTGTCAGATTACCAACCCTGGAGGTAAAGATAGATAGATAGATAGATAGATAGATAGATAGATAGATAGATAGATAGATAGATAGATAGATAGATAGATAGATAGATAGATAGATAGATAGATAGATAGATAGATAGATAGATAGATAATAGTATATTATGTAACAAGTGTTATAAACGTCCTTTTAGTAACGAGTATTTCAGGCACGAGCGGAGCAGAGCGGAGCGAGTGTTTAATAAACGATGCTTCATTTTTACACTTCTTGGAGATATGCAACTACCAGAACATTCTCTTCGATTTCACTTTCGTCTACATTTCGCATATATTTTTACTGAGGAATTCTGATTCAAACGAATATTGTTTGAATAATTCTGATACAACATTTGAAAATAACAGTTGACAGTTAATTGAGTTAATACAATTGACAGACCAGACATGTCTCATATTACTGAAGCTGTGTTTAATGAACTGTGTTGCCATGGTAATGTGTTTAAGAAATCGTGTTGCCATGGTAACATGTTTAATATTTTGAATAAATAACCGATCGACAATTCGTGAATAATCGATCATTTAGCGTGATACATATCCGTACGCTAAATGCCATTTTAGTTATGTGAGTAGAAAATTATACTTTATCGTCGAAGAAAAATAATTTCTTATTGACAAAGCTTGAAACAAAATATAGTCTGTGAAACTCTTAAAAAAATATGAAAAAATTTAAAATCAAAACACAAATACACAGAATCACACAATCTGAAACAAGTTCACACTGCATGTATAAAATATAAAATATTGCAATCTAAAATAGAGTTGAACATAAAAATTTGCAGTTTGTTAAAAAACAAAATAGTTTTATAATCATTCACAAAATAAAAAATAAAAAACACAATTTTACAGAGAAACATTATCTGAACATAAGTTCACAAGTCATTAGATCGGAAACATATTTTATAGTTCGTGAAACTATGGTGTGCATATTATTTAATTTTTACCTATGGTACAGGGTGATTCACCATAAAGGTCCCCCCCTCTAGCTCAGTTATTTTTGAACCGATTTTAAAATTTGATATATCATCTTGAATGATTTTCGATAAAGTTTTTTTCTGCTACATTAGAAAATACAGGGTGCTCGGAACAAACGATCTACAAGGTACTATTTGATTTTTTTAAATGGAACACCCTATTTTTCATTGTATTTTTAGATTTTCCCTGAAGAGCTGATTTGATCAATGTATCACACTTGGGGTCTAGCGGGAATGATTACAGAGATAATATAGGGTGTTCAAAATCGAGATTTTTCAACTTTAGGATTTTTTTTGTGACGAAACTATTCATTATCGGTCACGCGGTTTTCATCTCCGTATCTTAACTTTTGATTTACTATCTACTGACATTTAATAATTGGAACAGATACAGGGTGACCAGAATTCTGAATCTTGAACCACCCTGTAAATGTTCCAATTAAATTTCACTAGATAGTAAATCTAAAGTTGGGATGGGAACATAGAAGCCGTTTTGACCAATAATGAATAGTTTCGGCACAAAAAAATCCTAAAGTTGAAAAATCTCGATTTTGAACACCCTATATCTCTGTAATCATTCCCGCTAAACCCCAAGTGTGATGCATTGATGAAATCAGCTCTTTAAGAAGAATCTAAAAATACAATAAAATACAGGGTGTTCCATTTTGAAAAATCAATTAGTACTCTGTAGATCGTTTGTTCCAAGCACCCTGTATTTTCTGATGCAACGGGAAAAAAATTCCAGAAAAATCATTTTAGATTATCTTTCAAATTTTCAAAACGGTTCAAAAATAAGTGAGCTAGAGGGGGGGACATTTATGGTGAATCACCTTGTACCTAACTTGTTCCCAAGATGCGCTATCGTTATATTTCACTCATGACGTTTTTATTTTTCGCAGTGTATATATAAAAATACTGTGATATGACTGCGAGCATTTTTGTCATTGTGTAAATTTCATTCAGAATTTATGGCCAATAAAGGAGTCTGGTCAATAAGGATTGAATCACATTAACATGGTTAATCCGAATCAGACCAATGTTTTCAATCCATTCCAAGAATTTATTATCTTTATTATACAATCCGGCTCGAGATAACTATATAATTATCTATCAATGCCATCTCTTGCATAACCTATCATTAGAAATCACAATAAACATAACGAGGTGTGCAATTAAATAAAAATGTCCGCAAAACCTGGTATTTTTTTAACGGCTACTGCATGGATTTTCCGCCAATGCGATTGACATGGTTCGGAAAATGTGAACAGTATGATAAAAGTAGCAAAAAATCAGGCCGACACTAAAACTTCCTTTTAGGGAGGTCGGAAAGCCGGGCAACAGGTGGCGCGGCAATGCTCTTCCTTTGTTTTGTGTCATCGGCCTTCTTTCTGTCCATGAATGGAATGTTTATGGCGCGTGCTACAATTTCTTGCTTTCAAACAATGTCGACGTTGAAGACTGGATGTATGACGTTCGTGTTTTGTAATTTCAACGTAAAAGAGATACGAAAATTTCTCTACTAAGCTCGAGCTTCTATAGGGTTTATTATTGTTGTAATAATTATTTTTGTTAGCATTGAAAATGAGCAAAAATAAATTTTTCAGGATATGCATAGATCTAAATACACACATTCAGATCTATGGGACATGATACGGGTATAAAAAATCTTTTATGCACGTATAAAAAGTACATCGTTGAATGAATATTTTGGTGCTTTTTCCAGATATGGCAAAAAATTTATTAATAATATGTGAATTTTAAGTGAAGCCGGGCCTGGATTTGTTCTTTTGTTGATGCCTCAGTTGATTCAATAGGATAGATTGAGTAAGTGTACCAATTTCGACAAAAGCATACAGTGTGTCCCACTTACCATGCTCACCATAGGTATCTTTTTAACGGTGAGAGATACGAGGTCGGTTAAATTACACCAAATGTGGAGTTTGTCAAGGCCAACTATAATGTGAAAAAATATTTCGATAAAATCTATTCGTTTTTGTTTTATACGCAAAAAACAGATTTTGATCATTTTCATGTCTCCTCCGTAACTTCTTTATTTATGAAAATATTCAAATAGGAATTTCACATTCTCATGGCAGTTTTTCAAAGTGATTTCGAGAAAAATATGAAATTTATACCAACTCTTCTAGAATTTGAGATATCAGCACTAACTTTAGTTTTTCAAATATAGGTCATAGCTCACTATGACTTAGTTACAAATAACTTTTTTTTATCTTTCAGATGATGTGTCACAGTAATAGTTTTGTGTTGATAACAACGGGGTTATCGTCATTTATACAAAAACAAAAAATTATCTGGAAGCCGCCATCTTGAATTTATAAATTTCAACAAGAAAATCATAATCTCCGACTTCAAGAACCCCCACTTACCAATTTTGAATGGAATCGGACCAAATCTTGTCCGCCATCTTGAAGCAGACATTTTTTTTTTAATTTCAACAAAAATTCCATAATGTATTGTCACCGAAATCATGAACACCTGCCAAATTTCAAGTTAATCGGAATTATGGAATTTTTGTTGAAATTAAAAAAAATGGCTGCTCCAAGATGGCGGACAAGATCTGGTCCGATTCCATTCAAAAATTGGTAAGTGGGGGTTTTTGAGGTCGGAGATCATGATTTTTTTGTTAAAATTTATAAATTAAAGATGGCGGCTTCCAAATAATTTTTTGTTTTTGTATAAATGACGATGACTCCGTTGTTCTCAACACAAAACTATTACTGTGACATATCATCTGAAAGAGAAAAAAAAGTTGTTTATAACTAAGTCATAGTGAGCTATGACCTACATTTGAAAAACTAAAGTTAGTGCTGATATCTCAAATTCTAGAAGAGTTGGTATAAATTTCATATTTTTTTCGAAATCACTTTGAAAAACTGCCATGAGAATGTGAAATTCCTATTTGAATATTTTCATAAATAAAGAAGTTACGGAGGAGTCATGAAAATGATCAAAATCTGTCTCGTATCTCTCACCGTTAAAAAGATACCCATGGTGAGCATGGTAAGTGGGACACACTGTATAAGTTGATGGTTGGGAAGTTATGAGACATTGAAGACATGGCCAAAATTGATAGAAAATTCCGGTTATATATGAAGGTAGGTATCGAGTTCCCACTGTTTTTTTTTTCAACGAAGATTTTGTCTCTCTTCAATACACCTTGTATAAAATCACGAGTGTGAAATTTGAAACATAATATTCATAATTTTGTGGAATTCGGGATATATTTTTTCAACATTTTATCATACACTAATTTCGATGTAATTCGACATTCAACTGATCATTTTATAGCTATACAAAAAATGTACTCACTCCAAAAATTCAGTTACAAAATATTTCGAACAAGGAGACCATGTGAACGGTTTCGTATCTTTCTCAATCACTTTGCTCATTATATTCGTTATACTGATGCCTCTGTTGAGCTGCTTGCATTTTTTATCTTCATCATGAGGCATACTAAAACAAAAAAAGATATATCCAAACAGAAATTCAATGACAAAACCGTGAAATCACCTCAAAATATGCCCCAGTTCGTGAGCTATAGTATACGAAGAAGCCAGCCCTTTGTCCTTGACGATCGCACACCCCGACTGACACATGGAATCGACCTCGGCAACTCCGAGGGTGGTGCATTGCTGTTGAACAGACTCGTTTCGGCAAATGTTGTCCCTAAAACAACGCCCCACCCACAAATTATACCGAAGTTCCTCAAGGGTCCGTCTTGGGGCCCCTCCTATCGGCCATGTACGCGATACCTTACCTGGTCAGCAGAACAGCGACATTGTGCGCCCTATCGCGGATGTTGTGCTTCGTCCAGTTGCAGAATTTGAGCAGCATACCTGTAAAGAGCATACGAGGTGCCTTAGGAGTGAGTGATGAGAGAATACGTGAGTTTCGGGCGCTCACCTGATGAATTCGTGTTGGAAAAATCGTCGTGACTCAACACTCTGATCTGCACCACCGACACGGATATAGGGTTGCCTATCGATTCGTCTTTGAACAAAAAAGAAACCTGCAAAGCAAAGTGAATGAAGCTCGGTTGCAATGACTATTTACGTCCATATATAGCACTAGTACGTCCCCAAAACGTACTGAGAACGTCAGGTCAACATACAGGGTGGGCCACCAGTAACGCCTCGGTCTCTAGAAGGCTAACCACTCATCTTCTTGGAATTCTTCCTCCCTAGGAAGTTGCATGTCACCATAGGCTACCATTCAAAATTATTTCGAAACATACAGGGTGTCCCCAAAAACCTTAAAACACTGAAGTTAAACTTTTTTCTATCGAACACCCTATATATTATTTCATTTTGAGATTCTCCCTGATGAGCTGATTTCAACGACCCATCATACTTGGGGCTAGCAGTTATAATTACTGAAATATAGGGTGTGAAAAATCGAGATTTTCCAAGTTCAAGAATTTTTTGTGTCGAAACTATTCATAATTGGTCAAAACGGCTTACATGTCCCTATCTCAACTTTTGATCAATTATCTACTGATATTTCATTGGGACATATACCGGGTGATCAAGATTCTGAATTCTGCACCACCCTGTATTTGTTTCAAATAAATGTCAGTAGATAGTTGATCAAAAGTTGAGATAGGGACATGTGAACCGTTTTGACCAATTATGAATGGTTTAGACACAAAAAATTCTTGAACTTGGAAAATCTCGATTTCTCACACCCTATATCTCAGTAATTATAACTGCTAGACCCCAAGTATGATGGATTGTTGAAATCAGCTCACCAGGGAGAATCTCAAAATGAAATAATATATAGCGTGTTCGATTGAAAAAAGTTCAACTTCAGTGTTTTGTGATTCTTGGAGACATCCTGTATGTTTCAAGATAATTTCAAATGGTAGCCTATGTTGACATGCAACTTCCTAGAGAGGAAGAATTCCAAGAAGATAAGTGGTTAGCCTTCTAGAGACCGAGGCGTTACTGGTGGCCCACCCTGTATTATATAGAACATACATGGTGCTAACAAATAAGTGTCACAACGGAAAACTGTTGATTCCTCATAAAAAAATATCCTTCCTTCACGAATTTTTTCTCCGGGCTTCCGTTTTCAATATACACCCAGACAGCACCAGATATTCCATGAATCTCCCTATCATATTCCTTTTGGAATATTGGAATATTCTAGAAATAATCTGGAATATTCCGGAATATCTGTGGAATATTCTCTAAATATGCGAATGGGAATTCATACACCCAGTACGTCTAAAAATAGACGTTTTCAGTACGTCTTGAATAGGTCTCAGACGTTCAGACCTAAATCTGTCCTAAAATGGACGGCCCCAGAACGTCGAGTGCTATATATGGGCGTTCATCTCTGGAGTAATAAAAAGATAAAAGTAGCTATGAATTTCGTACATACATGGGACATCAACGTCAGAATATAGTGCGTCAGATCATCATCGTTCAAATGGTACTTGACCATACTCTTATCAGCCACCACGAGCACCTTGACGAAGGACTCGTCGGACATCCTGTATACGCTTTTCCATTCAGCGTTGCGCGGTACCCTGGAAAACTCCTCGGGCGTTTTCCGTTCCCCATGGGTCTTTCGTTCCCCATGGGTCTGCCACCCCTGGGGCGTTTCACGTTCCCCATGGGGCTGCCACTCCTCGGGTGTTCTCCAGACCGTTTCTTCGACGGCGTCGCAGGTACCCAGCACTAGGTTCGGGGCGTCCCTTTTATTGATCACGTGACCCTTGGGGATCTGCGCGGTGGCTTGGTAGAAGTCGTCCTCGATGATGGTAACGTTTTCTGCAAGAAGAAACGATGAAGTTGTGAGACTCTTTATAAATGTGTGTGTTTTTGACGTTGATTGTACGTTACTAGTTGAGTGGGCGGTGACGTCAATTAAACGTCGACACTACTTATAAGCTTAATAACGATGTTGGTGGTTGTACAAGGTATTATTCATTGATTTTTCATTCAAATTTCCTGGAGTTTACATCTTTCATACGTTGATGAATGATTGCATACACATTGAGTTGGGACAACGTTATTTTCCTTATCTCTCAATGTTTTTCAAACGTTGATTTCCATTTGCATTATTGCATTGTCAGACACACAAACTGTTGACGCAAAATTTAATGAGAAACGACTTTCAAGAAAGACCATACTGAGGGATGGAATCCGTTCTAACCTCTATCAATCGATGAATCATGATTTACATTTTAGGTCTCTAAAATTTAAGAAAAATTAAGCTTAAATACCTACAACTTCCATAATTCATGTTTGTTGGAATGGCTGGATGTTATTGCCAATCATTCTGGCTCTACTTACATTTCAAAAGTCTTAAAAACTGTCACAGTTTCGAACAATGCATGCAGATTATCGAGTGATCAGTTGACAATGATCATCAGGTTGAGAGATCAGATATTAAAACAATGGAAGACATCAGTATTCGGATGGGTAATTCAGTGGAGGTTATATGCATATCCATATTTCAGTAATATGTCTGATAATTCCAAGAATTCTAAAACTATTAAGGAAAAAAAAACGGATGGTGCGATTGCAGATTTTCTCTCCTCGTTTCTATAAAATGAATTAGGTCTCTAAAATTTAAGAAAAATTAAGCTAATTTTAATATACCTACAACTTCCATAATTCATGTTTGTTGGATGAATGGCTGGATGTTATTGCCAATCATTCTGGCTCCACTTACATTTCAAAAGTCTTAAAAACTGTCACAGTTTCGAACAATGCATGCAGATTATCGAGTGATCAGTTGACAATGATCATCAGGTTGAGAGATCAGATATTAAAACAATGGAAGACATCAGTATTCGGATGGGTAATTCAGTGGAGGTTATATGCATATCCATATTTCAGTAATATGTCTGACAATTCCAAGAATTCTAAAACTATTAAGGAAAAAAAAAACGGATGGTGCGATTGCAGATTTTCTCTCCTCGTTTCTATAAAATGAAAATATGAGTATAATTACAATATACGTGCGATGTTTTTCAGCGCAGAAAAACGGTGCTATTGATTATCATCTTAAGGAATCTCATTCTGAAAAGATGCAATAAACATTTCCATAGGTTCCATAGTCAATGAAACGAACATTCAGGAACTTATTAAATCGAAAATAATGATCAATCCAAATTGACCGCCAAAATTTCAGTGTTACGTGCAGTGTTGAGCAGTTTATATGAGAATAATTATCTAACTGGATAACCATGTGATACAAACGTTGACGTAGCTTCAATCCCTTGGAATAAACGTTGAAGAAATGTAAAAACATAGACGAGAAGGTGAATGAAATTAAATTATGGAAAAACGTTAGGTCAACGTAACATCACTGTGAAACAATCATTGAATTAACGTTTCAAAAAAGGCGAAGATAACGTCGTAGTCGAAAGGAACGATGAATGAAAGATGCTCTAGAAATTTCGATTTAACGTATTGAGCAGTTTTGGTTTTGAATCTATGATAAGTTCGATCGATTTTTTTTGTTTTGCTTTCGCCCAGGGTATATACAGTCAGTCAATGAATTCGAAGTTTTTTATTATTGTAATAAGTAAAAATTGGCGCTATAGTCGGGTCGAAGGTCATTATCATAGTTTACATAATTTCGTTAAACATTATATTTATGTTTATGTTTAAAATTAGCCGATATTCTTGCCAGAAGATTTATTCTCATTTAAATCAAATATTGGTATGTTGCGCCGATAGCTTGTAGTCTTATTAAAATTAATAAAGACAGCGATAAATTCTAGTGAAAAATCGATTGGCCACCTACTGCTCTGAAATCAAATAAAACTAAATTTATTATCGAGCAATGAGTCGAATCCGCAAAAAGATCCATAAAAATTCCGATAAAAAATATATTATAATGTAGTCGGATTGACAAAATTTCTCTTCGATTTGGCATGCAGACAATTTCTTTTGAAGTTATTGATATATTCGAATGTATACATCAATTTGATTCGGACATCTGGAGTCTATTTCTAGTCAGCAAGTGGAAGATGCATTTCTCAGATGTCTGAATATTATATAAGCTAGAAGAAATAACCCACGTTGTATTTATTCACGCGGCGTGTATGTATTTTTCACTTCTCTCTATAATTCATACTGTTTCGGTTTGCTAAGCCTTATCAGTTGAATTCGGCCAGCTGACAATAAATTCATGGAATGAACTCCAATGCTACGAAAAAAAATCTCAAATCCTGGAGAAAGACGATCGATCTAGCCTATGGAGCCATCTAATGGCAAAAATACAAAGCTGTATTTCCAATGAGGGAGAAACTCAAAGTCTATGTTCATAAAAAGAATGAAACTGGTAGATAACGAGAGAAAAACAAGTACTTTCGGGCTTTGGCCCTCATCAGTGCAGGGGTGTGCCCAGTTGGCATTCATGACTGCCATATGGAGCGAACCTTACCCAACGTAAAAACCTCTGAGCTTTCGGTCACTGCGAAATGGGCACGACACAACGGCATCTAGGGCAGAAGGAAATAAACTGGGAGTTTAATGAGGCACAATTCAGCATCTAAGAAAGAAACACTTGCAGACGATACAGTGCTTCTATATGAGAATAAAAACCCAGTAGTTCTAGAACATATCATAAATGAGGACTTGAAAAAAATTGAGAAATGGCTTTATTCCAATCTCCTTTCTCTCAATTCTAATAAGACTCAATATATGATTTTTCGTCAAAGAAATAAACAAAATATTGATCTGAATATTAGAATAAAAAATGAACGTTTGAAACAAACTGCCCATACCAAATACCTTGGTATTTGGATTGATGAGAAATTAACATGGGGAAAGCATATTGACATCCTCATAGGAAAAGTATCTCCCATTATTGGTGCTTTGAGAAGATGTCCTAAACTTAGTACATATACATCAAATATCATTCTCTATTCACATATACTCAGTCGAATTAACTATCTCATAAATATTTGGGGATCTTGTTCCAAAAATAGTTTCAACAAAATTTCTGTTCTATATAAAAAGTATTGTATCGTCTTCCATATGACACTCCAACGAATCAACTGTATAAGGAAACAAACACATTTTCTTTGGAAGAGCACTTTTTAATCAATACTCTCAAAATTTCCTATTATATCATCAACAAAAAGCTTAAATCAAAGTTTATATTAATCAGGAATTCCGAAATTCATGATCATCACACTAGACAATATAACTTGTTTCATCTTGAAGCTGCAAATTCTAAACTTGGGCAAAAAAAGTTCACACATGAGGCGATTTCGAAATTCAATAAATTACCAGATGATATCAAAAACAGCCCAAATATTATGCAATTCAAAAATAAAGTTAAGAAATATATTTATATGCAAAGGAATGATCAAAGCTGAAAGACCATGAATTTCCATTTTTCTTTTTTTTTTCACTGTTTTTATTTTTCCCCTTCTTGTTCACTATAATATGACTGTATCTTAATGATATGTAAGTTTTGTTCACTATTTGTAATTGCAATTATACAACAGTCGATAATACTTCATGAATGATCTTATACCAGGAATTACTGTCTGATCATTCATGTCATTCCTACTAGAAATTAATTATACTTTATATATTATTTGTATGAAATGTATCAATGAAGAAAATAATGTAATGCAATAACTGAAATAAAAATAAATAAATAAATAATCTGTATTCGTCTATACGAATCGTTGCATATATAGATATCGGGAGGATATAATTCATTGCTCTGCGTGGCACACAACCAGGAAAGTGTTTTTTTTTTCACGTTATCCACCAGTTTTGTTTATATCATGAACATATTGTGAAAATGCCTTCGACGTTCGTCCGCTTTGTTACCTATTCATTTTACTTTGAGTATTATGTCTTCTTCCTATATAGTTGAAAGGTGTATTAGTCGTATTTTTAAGCAACAATATACGTCAAGATTGTATCGAACAGGTATTTATAATATATGAAAAATTGGGCATATGTTCCTGGGAAAAAGAGACAGCTGTTTTTTTGTCTAATGTTCCATTTCGAAATTGTTGTGATATTGAGGTCACAGCAGGTGTGTCCTACCATCTGCATTTTTCGTTTCTTCAAATTAGTTGATAAGTTAGCCGTCAATAGGCGTCAATATACAGCCTACTTGGCACTTTCCTTTCTTGGGAACCTATATTTAATAATCCCTCGACCTATCTCATCTAACCCATACTGTTATTTTATAATTATAGTTTATTATTCATTGGTTGCTTGTCAGATGGTAGAATTAGGTTGTATTCTTGATCAGTTTTTTATCTATATGTTGAAAAAACTTCTGTAGGATATATTTTCTTTGAACCTCAAAAGATGACAAGGTTCGCGCATTTATGACAATAACAAAATATATCGAGCAAAAATAATCCAAGAACTTTATTCAAACAATGATTGGATAAACTGAGAAAGAATTGATATTTTTATCACTTAGCTCAGAGAAAGCGAATACTCAATGTATTTCTTTATACAGTATGATGCAAATGTATGGAATAAATTCATTATTTCAGAAATGAGCGACATTTGAAAAAATGCCAAAAACACGTGAGTTCTAATTTCTGAAGCCTCATCTCATGATATTCATATGAGAGATGTTACGTCACCGGTGTTGGAGTAAAGACGTAATGGACGATTTTTTCAAATACAAATAGGGGTCATGTGACACCTTGATTGAAAGGTCTACCGATCGTCTATTCAACAGTCAAAATGTTGCATAAGAAGATTGAAATCAAAATGGATTATCATGTGATTAATTGAATCTTGCAGAGGTGTGCTACTGAGAATTGAAC